GTGTAGAGGTTCTGTACACCACATACCTTGAGCATACGGTGGTGGAAATAGACTTTGTTGTTGCTGTCCCGGCGGTGTCTCTTGTTGCTGCTGTCCCGGCGGTGTCTGCTGCTGATATTGTGGCTTGGATCTCTTAGCACTGTGGTCTGTGTTGTCAACATCCACCACATCCGTCGGTTCTTCACAGCGGCGTCTTGGCAAAGTGGAAAAAGAATGTTGAAGACAAAATTCGAAATGAAAATTGATAAGTACAATGGTACCCCCTGACACATCACTGACTACAACCCCACCCTGACACATCACTGACTACAACCCCCCCCCCCCCCGGACACATCACTGACTACAACCCCCCCCCCCCCCCCCCCGGACACATCACTGACTACAACCCCCCCCCCCCCCCCCCCCCGGACACATCACTGACTACAACCCCCCCCCCCCCCCCCTGACACATCACTGACTACACCCCCCCCCCTGACACATCACTGACTACAACCCCCCCCCCCCCCGTCAGGCGAAATAGCACGTCATAGACATTAGAGATCAGCGGGAAGAAGATGACGACGTCCACTAATTTCGTATCTGTGCACACGAATCTGCTGTGTGTGTGACTCTGTGTGTCAGCTATGATATCATCTCCTGTGGTCCCATGCCTAGCATGTACGTCTGAACCATCCTGCAAAGTTTGAATGACGTAGGTTGAGCGATCGCTCCGCGAAACATACTTTTTGAAATTCTCTTCATAGTATATCTTCCACCATTGAAATTTCGAATTTCTTGCTGAGAGGGGTGGCTTGCAACCTCGATAAGGCTCCAGGCATGCTTTGGAGCCATCTCCTGTTGAAGTAGTGGCGGGGATCTGCCCTGCAACTGCTACAACAAAAAATGATTCGATCTGAGAAAGGGTGAGACCGCGAATCTCGGTTGAATATTGAGTATTTCAAGCCTTTTCACGACGAAGATGGAGTTCTCTTTGGAGATGGACGTCGCGGCAAAGGACATGGTGTCCGACTTCTGGCGTCTGGTGAAGCCAGGGATCATTTGTCCAGTCAGGTCGGCAGCCTAACCGTCGGCAAGCTTGTGTTTGGATCCCGTTCTGCTCGATGTGGTAGATCACAAACAATTTGATATCGCACAAATTGATCTCAGCATCGTGCGTACGGTATATTATATTCAGAAAATCCCAAAGTGTCTCTGTGTGGCCGTCCTATGCCACGAGAAACTCCAATCAGGCTCCTATGTCCTCTGCCTTCATGATTGAATGTCCACTTCGTTTGACCAACGAACACAACAATCCAGGACGGCTTTGCAATGAAAAATACAGCTATACTGGAGCTGAAAAAAAGAAGAAAAAAACGTGCTCAGGATGAGACTCGAGTACACGCATACTCTCCCAGCAGGTGAAACGCAATTTTTTGTGAAAAATGCGTGTCGCCGACTGACCAGTAATTTCGCCTGACGCCCCTGACACATCACTGACTACACCCCCCCCTGACACATCACTGACTACAACCCCCCCCCCCCCCCCCCCCCCCCCTGACACATCACTGACTACAACCCCCCCCCCCCCTGACACATCACTGACTACAACCCCCCCCCCCCCCCCTGACACATCACTGACTACACCCCCCCCCCCCTGACACATCACTGACTACACCCCCCCCCCCCCCCCCTGACACATCACTGACTACAACCACCCCCCCCCCCCCCCCTGACACATCACTCACCGACTACAACCCCCCCTGGACACATCACTCACTGACTACAACTCCCCCCCCCCGACACATCACTGACTACAACCCCCTTCTCCCCTCTCCCCTCCCCCAGAAATACATGTGATAACAAGAGTAAGGGACATTTAGGATATGTACGATTGGTTGAATCCGGATCCAGATCGATTGAGTGGATCCTTCGGATCCACCAAGGTTCAATCAAACGCTGCCTTTGATTGAATTGGGAATTTTAGTGTTTTTCGGGGGCGTTCCATGATCGCATCACTTTTATTCCGACATTTATACACGTATCACGTAAAGAGTATGTTATTTGGCAAAAAAAATAATCCGGTGGATCCGGTCAATCCTGCTCCCGGAGTAAGGTTGATCGGATCCAAATCCATTTGATCTGGATCCGGATTCGTGGAAACGAACTTGCACATATCGAGTGGATCCGACTGATCTGGATCCAGGTCCAACCAATCAAACAAGCCCTAACAAGTTATGGCCTGGATCTGATGCCAACATGCTCAAACGCACACAATGTATACGTGAGTAAACTATGCCATGCATTGCACATGCATTGTACATGTATTGTACATGCATTGCACATGCATTGTACATGCATTGCACATGCATTGCACATGCATTGTACATGTATATAATATTACGCCATGCATTGCACATGTATATAATATTACGCCATGCATTGCACATGTATGTATATCTTTCAGTCAGTGGTTCTTACCTCTTCCCACCGACCACCATACAGTTATGATACAGTCCACAGTAACGGAAAGACTTGCGAGGTCGGCCATCATCATCCTGCTGCTGCCGATCTCTTCGCCGTTTCACCTGCTGCTGCTCTTGCGGTGGCTTGTGGTCACTTGGCGTGAAGTCATCATTGGTCATATCTGTACGTGCGGCGATATCATCATTAGTCATATCTGTATGCATGGTGATGTCATCAGGTGCTGAGGCGATAGGTATGACATCATCCGCTGTTGTATCCAGAATGGCGTCCTCCATTGCAGGCAGAGGTCCCACACCTAAGAATAAATGCTGGTAGTTCAGCAAAATAGCAACACAATGTTTCAATGGGAACCGACTTGCCCATACTGTAGAACGGGTAATTTTAGCGACGTAAAAACCCTAGCGTATTTAGCGATCGACTCCTTTTCGCTGAAGTTTCAAGTCGCTAATCCGTTGAGACATTAGTAGTGCACTGGTGATCCGTGAGTAAAATCGCTGCAAATCACTAAAATAAAACGTCACTAACCGGTTGACAATGGGAAAACGCTAAAATTAATAGTCGCTGAAATTACCCGTTCTACAGTAAAGTATCAAGAAAGGGCCGCAGGTGTGTGTGATACCTGGTAGCCTAATCGGTAGGGCACTGTCCCGGAAAGACAGGGGTGCTGGGGTCGAATCCCGCTCGTGGATCCTTCTTAGCAACAATAAGCTTCACAACTCAGTTTCACACACTCATCAAAAAAGCCCGCTGCTTGGAAACGCAAATCCTCTAAGCGTGTAATCCCACTCATGAAAAGAACAAGCCGCAGGCTTGTCGCAAGCAACATTGTCGATAGTTTCCCAACAGTACTTCCAATACCTTCTATCAGATAGAACAGTGTAGGGGAGAAGAGAAACCCCAAGAAGCATAATGAATAGGACAATGAATAGTATACAGCAGAGATGTGATTATAGAGACAAGGCGAAGAGGAGAAGCCAGAAACAAAACGACAAAATGCGAAACTAGCACTCCATTGGACAGCCTGGAACCTCGCTGTGTTTAATAGCACACATAGCACACATAGTGACATAGCACACATAGTGCAGAAGCCACTGGTACATCCAGTGAGGAATTTTGCACCAGTACTCTTCATACTCTTCATACTTGATACATTGGGGACATGAGTATCAGCTAACCAGTACTCTTCATACTTGATACATTGGGGACATGAGAATCAGCTAACTGCATAAGAGATGTGTAACAGTAGCATAGGAAGCACTGGTTAATCCGATGAGGACTTTTGCACTACTACGCGTTTTATATCGCATATGTTTTATATCGCCATCAATATCCTGTTTGGCTGTTGTCGCTTCGGCTTATGCGAAAGCTATACATGCTGTGTATATCTACATTGCATTGATGCCAACGCGGAGAAGCTTCTAATAATAACTCTTCATAATTGGTACAATGGTGATCATAAGATAGTAGCTGATGCCAAGTACATTTATCTATCTCCCATGCAGCACTGTAGTAGCTGATGCTCATATCAACAACGTACCGACAGTGAAAAGTAATGATGCGAAAGTCATCATCAGATTTACCAGTGACTTCTGTGTATGTGTGATAATTACACATCTTGCCATGTTGTATCCGGCTGTGTGATAACTACACATCTTGCCATGGTGTATCGTAGTGGGCCGGCTTCTCTTCTTTACCTGCCTTCCATCACAGCGGCTCTGCTGTATAATTTATATTTATTGTGCTTCTTTGATTTATTTTTCTCTGCCTACATTCTACCTGACGGTAAGGCATTGGAAGCCTAGTAGTGGTACTGTTGGAAAACTTTGGATAATGTTGTTGGTACGTAGTGAGAGGTTTGTTCTTTTCTTGAGTCTGAATGCATTTTCATCGGGCACAAAACCCTCCATACCATGTAACGATGAATACCAGTGCAATATTCAACTCGATTTCAGCGATGCATTTATCACACGGCGCCGTACACACGATATGCCGGTTCACAGTGCTCTGCAGACATGGTTGTGCACACACCTGAGTTCAGCATGCGGTTGTGCACACAGCTGAGTTCAGCATGCGGTGGGGTAACCGGAGGCCCGTCTACAAACCCTACTACATAACGGTGTGAACAGTTGTCAGTTGGGGACAAAAACTGTGGAATCGAACTCGGCACTGCCGCACATCACAACAGTGGCTGCATGAATACACACACACTAGCAGCCGACACACTTCATGGGCAACCGGGCAGTCTGGTACTGTATGGGACGTCCGGACAATCTGGTACTGCATGGGGACGTCCGGACAATCTGGTACTGCATGGGGACGTCCGGACAATCTGGTACTGTATGGGACGTCCGGACAATCTGGTACTGCATGACATTGTACTGCATGACATTGTACTGCATGACATTGTACTGCATGACATTGTACTGCATGACATTGTACTGCATGACATTGTACTGCATGACATTGTACTGCATGACATTGTACTGCATGACATTGTACTGCATGACATTGTACTGCATGACATTGTACTGCATGACATTGTACTGCATGACATTGTACTGCATGACATTGTACTGCATGACATTGTACTGCATGACATTGTACTGCATGACATTGTACTGCATGACATTGTACTGCATGACATTGTACTGCATGACATTGTACTGCATGACATTGTACTGCATGACATTGTACTGCATGACATTGTACTGCATGACATTGTACTGCATGACATTGTACTGCATCTGGTGCATGTACTGCACGTACTGCATGTGGACCACCACAGTGGGTTTCTTTGACCCCAGCTGTAGGCTGTGTAGGCAGCAAAGACTACAAAGTCATATCATGCACACATGCACACATACACAGTCAAATCGAGCATTTAACTATCCATACACACACCATTGGACCATTGGACGCCCATCGCCGGGAGGCGATGATAGCGATGCTACAGCAGAAGCCATAGCAGCTTGTGCTGGGATTGCACCATCAGGCGCGTCGGAACGACTTTGGAGGTGGGGCGGCCATGGAAGGGGGGTCCGGGGGTCCTCCCGCGGGATTTTCAAAAATTAAAGCCAATTGCAAGCATTTCCGGGCATTTGGTGCCATTTCAGTGTACGGTAACTACAATGAAAGACTTTTTGATTCTGCAAAAAACCAAGAAGATGCTACGATCGGGGACAAACATTACCCTCCCCCGGGAAAAAAATTCAAAAATTGATGCATGGACTTTTGATTCTGCAACAAACCACGATCGGGGACAAGGATTTGCCACGTTTGCGCTGAGATCATCGCGCTTTGTTGCAGTGGGCTAAAAATAAAAAATAAATAAATAAATAAAATAAAAAACGGCCGAAAAAGTGGGGCGGCCATGGCCGCCCCGGCCGGTGCGGTTCCGACGCCCTTGACCATTCAACAGCTTGCAAGGCTGAAGAATTGACCGCCACTATTCAGCCTGGTCTACACCACACAGCTGTGAAGTGGCTTTTTCTGGCCAGTGAATCCCTACTTTTTTTTATACACATACACAATCATACACATACACAGTGATACACACTGACCGGTGGTACTTACTAGCAATGGAGTAGATCCACATGTAATGACGTAGGAAAGCCGTATACAAGCCTGCTCTACTGAGCAGCCGTCATGGGGGGCACGGTCACGGTGCTGAACGTCCAGACTCCAAATACTCCGAATACTCCGAATAGGTGTGTAAATTCCAGACCAGTGGTGCGTATAGATGGGAAGGAAGTCACAGGACTCTGAGCGTTCCTAAAATACTCAGGTGCATTGGCGATGTCACAATCGGCTGAGCGAGTTTACCTGCTAGCAGCTACTGCAATCATTTCACCGTGGTCACACAGGCAACGACAGAATCACTATCGTCTACAGCTGCTATGTCTGGTTGAACATTCACATCTACATCATGTAGACATCAGCACAATCCAGCAATCCAGCATCTACTAGACTTCAGTTCCTCTACTTGTGACGCCAATGTCGACAGTCAGCCCGACTCAGGCCGGGGCCAGCAGGACTCGAGACGATGCTCAAATATCGTGCAGTTTTCCGTTGAAGAATGTACAACTCTTTCCCCTAGCTGCTGTATGTAGTGCTAATATACCGGTGCGAGAATAATATTCCCTGGAATACCGGATAGGACGACTACTGCTATGGCCGGGCAGTCACGGACTCAGAGGCCGACACTAGTTAGTTACTGCTGCTGCTGTGACAATAGCTGTTACTTGCACAACTGGTCTCTTGCAGCCTGGCTGAAGCGCTCGCTGAGTCTCTCTTCTCTACTAGTGTAGTTTCAACTGACTTTGTCGTAGATCTACCATCACCTTTGCGTGATACAGATCAGGCAGGCCAGGATCAAACAAACCAGAAAAAAACTTGGGATGCACTTGAAAACTTTTTTTTCTCATTTTGAGTTGTATTTCCCGCCACTGAAACTACTGTCACGTGTCGTGTCAAAAGACAAAACGTGCCGCGCAGTACAGACAGTGTAGATGTACGTGTCGTGAGGTCGACCTGCGGGAGGCCGAGGGCGCAAGCATGCACTGCATGCAGCGTAGGGAGTCGAGTACGAGCATGGTTCGTATGTACAATGATTATGAATTTATGTACACACATGCTGTGCATGTAGTCGCTGCATATGGCCAAATGCCCATCACCATGATCACCATGATCACCTGGGCCCGGCTGGGTAATAAATAATTATACCGGTCACGACATTCCACTGATGAATGTGACAAGAAAATCGATTTGGGGAAAACTTTCAGGACTTTGTTGTAGTGTGGCGATGACCACATGACAGCAGAATTTGTTCTCTTATTGCTATTATAAAATTGTTGTCTTCGCATAGACTATTTGAATTATACCGGTATGTAGTGTTAGCCGGCCATCGGGGACCGAAGTCCGAAGGGTGCCCGGACCTCAGGATTGCCGGGCACCCAGAGACCGAAGAACGCCTGTTTCTGACCGAAGAACGCCTGTTTCTGACAGAGAACGCCTGTTTCCGACAGAGTTCACCATACTAGTATATGTACAATGTAGCTCGAAAACACACAGCAACCGTCACATGGATACAAGCACAACAGCAACCGCCAATAACCATGATAACACAAGAGCATGCAAGTAACAGTTACTGCAACAGTCAGTGGACCTGTGGTTATGCAAGCATGCATGGGTGAGTGTGGGGCACAGGCTGCCCGGCTTCGTTGCATACACTATGAATAGAATGATACAGTACGGTACTGTCGGGCGCCGAAGAACGGCCAGGCTAGAATTTCACCAATTTTTAAGAACGGTCTAGGCTGGATTTTTGGACGATAAGAACGGAAACGGTAATGTACACTATAATGTACAGCCACTCAGACTAGTGTATAGTGTATACTGTGTATAGTGTAACTCTGTAAGTTAGTTGCCTGCATCACACCCTACTACTACTCTTGGCAATCCTGCACCAAAATACACAGTCTCTTGCACCAGCACATCTGGTTTTGCTTGATTAGACCAGGTATACCATGCAGACCGGGTATAGAGCAGGTATACAGAGCAGGTATACAGAGCAGGTATACAGAGCAGGTATACAGAGCAGGTATACAGAGCAGGTATACAGAGCAGGTATACAGAGCAGGTATACAGAACAGGTATACAGAACAGGTATACAGAGCAGGTATACAGAGCAGGTATACAGAACAGGTATACAGAACAGGTATACAGAGCAGGTATACAGAGCAGGTATACAGAGCAGGTATACAGAGCAGGTATACAGAGCAGGTATACAGAACAGGTATACAGAACAGGTATACAGAACAGGTATACAGAGCAGGTATACAGAACAGGTATACAGAACAGGTATACAGAACAGGTATACAGAACAGGTATACAGAGCAGGTATACAGAGCAGGTATACAGAACAGGTATACAGAACAGGTATACAGAGCAGGTATACAGAGCAGGTATACAGAGCAGGTATACAGAACAGGTATACAGAACAGGTATACAGAACAGGTATACAGAGCAGGTATACAGAACAGGTATACAGAACAGGTATACAGAGCAGGTATACAGAGCAGGTATACAGAACAGGTATACAGAACAGGTATACAGAGCAGGTATACAGAACAGGTATACAGAGCGGGTATACAGAACAGGTATACAGAACAGGTATACAGAACAGGTATACAGAGCAGGTATACAGAGCAGGTATACAGATCCCCCGAACTCTAAATTTTGGCTGCATGTACATGTACTTGAGTCCCGTACAAAAGATGGCTACGTTGAATCCCATGGCAGGGAAAGTGTGGTGTTTGTGGCTACGTTGAATCCCATGGCAGGGAAAGTGTGGTGTTTGTGGCTACGTTGAATCCCATGGCAGGGAAAGTGTGGTGTTTGTGGCTACGTTGAATCCCATGGCAGGGAAAGTGTGGTGTTTGATTTGTGCGCAGTGTGCGGATGTACCAGTATTACTATGTAGCCAGTATCACTATGTACCAGTATTACTATGTACCAGTATTACTATGTACCAGTATCACTATGTACCAGTATCACTATGTACCAGTATCACTATGTACCAGTATCACTATGTACCAGTATTACTATGTACCAGTATCACTATGTACCAGTATCACTATGTACCAGTATCACTATGTACCAGTATTACTATGTACCAGTATTACTATGTACCAGTATCACTATGTAGCCAGTATCACTATGTAGCCAGTATCACTATGTACCAGTATTACTATGTACCAGTATTACTATGTACCAGTATCACTATGTACCAGTATCACTATGTAGCCAGTATTACTACAGTTGCGCTCGGTGAAATCCGGCCCGAAGTGCAAAGCCGGCGCCGCGAAGCCAGCTCCCATTACATCACTGGCGATTTGTGGGTATGAACTCAACTGTACGCACCTCGTGTAAAAGTTCGGAGTGCACGTGTTGCATGCTAAAAACAGTTCAAATTTTTTTCATTCACTTCACGAAGTACAGCTCAAGATCAAGAAGAGATAGAGAGAAAGGACATGGCCATTCCCAATGTGTGGGCTCTTCTCAAGAAGAAAATAATTCCGCATCGCTGCGAGAATGCTGACCAGCTGGTGCAAGCACTGCACCTGGAGTGGGACTCGTTGGCTCCTGACATGGTTTCCCCGTACGTGGAGTCAATGCCACGTCGTGTTGAAGCCCTAATCGAAGCAGACGGTGGCCACACAAAATATGGAAGCCCTGCTGCTCTGTGTATGAAATAAACTGCTTCGAAACGATCTCCGTCTTCTTTACTTGTGCTGGACTGAAATGAATGTTACACTTGTCTTTGTTTGGCGCGTTTTTTTAAAGGGGAAGTTAAGGCAAAAATTAAAATTTCACCAGTTGTAGTCTTCGGGGTGCTGAGTCGAATGGTCTTGGTCCGAGGAAGCTGAGACGCTCCCTTCCTACTTGAATCCCAATCGAACTCGCGCACTTCCACCGAAACTGGGTGACTGCGCCCTACGAGATGGGGATTTGTATGCAAAATGTCACTAAAAGCGCCATTTCGTTCTTATAAAAGCACGGATGACCGCGATTGGCCCATATGTTGTAGTCTTTGGGACGCTGAGTCGACTGGTTTTGGTCCGAAAAGGCTGCGATGCAGCGTTCCTCCTTTATTCCCAATCGAACATGGTTGAAGAAGCGGTCACGTGCTCCTGGGTGCCCAAATCACCTGGTCACCACGCCAGCAGGTGACAACTTTCACACCAAGGTTCAACTCGGGTTCAACTCGAGTGACAGGACTGCACCCAAAAAAGGTCAAACAGGCTAGTAAGTTGTACCCTGCAGGCACGGTGACCAGGTGACTGGTGTACGCAGGAGCACGTGACCGCTTCTTCAACCATGTTCGATTGGGAATAAAGGAGGAACGCCGCATCGCAGCCTTTTCGGACCAAAACCAGTCGACTCAGCGTCCCAAAGACTACAACATATGGGCCAATCGCGGTCATCCGTGCTTTTATAAGAACGAAATGGCGCTTTTAGTGACATTTTGCATACAAATCCCCATCTCGTAGGGCGCAGTCACCCAGTTTCGGTGGAAGTGCGCGAGTTCGATTGGGATTCAAGTAGGAAGGGAGCGTCTCAGCTTCCTCGGACCAAGACCATTCGACTCAGCACCCCGAAGACTACAACTGGTGAAATTTTAATTTTTGCCTTAACTTCCCCTTTAACACTTTGGTGTAAGCATGCATGCGTATGAGTAAGCACATGCACAGTTCATACGGCACACGTGCACACTAGCACTTGTACAACTTTGAGGGCGTCAAGGGCCGCATCAGTATTGGGCGCCAGTTATGCACTTCAGGCCGGATTTCACCGAGCGCAACTGTATGTACCAGTATTACTATGTACCAGTATCACTATGTACCAGTATTACTATGTACCAGTATCACTATGTACCAGTATCACTATGTACCAGTATCACTATGTATCACTATGTATCAGTATCACTATGTACCAGTATTACTATGTACCAGTATCACTATGTACCAGTATCACTATGTACCAGTATCACTATGTAGCCAGTAGCTGTACATGATGACTGTAATGAAGGCAGCAGAGAGCCCAGCATGTGCCGAGCATCTGGCCCATAGAAATGTGATCACAGTTGCATACTCTTCTTGTCTATGGACTGTTGAATGTGCTCACTAAACCGATACGGCGATAGAGATCAGTTCCATAGAGATCAGTTCGATAGAGATCAGTTCCATTCACAAACATACACAATACTAGAGAGTTCTAACCAGGTCAAAATAGTAGGGGAGGGGGGGGGGGCATGGGAAACAGCTACCCCGTAACCAATTTTTTCCCATTTGCCAATAGTCTTGCCATGCTAAACGTAACGTATGGGGCGAACCCCAAACTTCACCCCAGACAAATGTGCCTTTAAGAAGCATCTAGTACTACTAGTACTAGTAGTAGTAGTGACTATCGACTGCATTTTCGTTGAATTGCATGACAAAACACAAAATCAACAAATGAGTAGGGGGGACGCTCAATCAGATTAGGAGGGCGCTGCGCCTCCCCCCCCCCCCCCCTCCTTTGGCTACAACCCCGATTTTATGAGTTGAAGGCAAAGACTTTTATGCCGTGATGTGTACAGTAACATTGATGCATCTACTACCGAAGAATGTGTGTGTGTGTGTGTGTGTGTGGAGGGGGGGGGGGGGGGGGGTGCAAATTCTCCGCTTCAGGCTGGTGATGTTCAAGATTCCACCATGCATGCATTCATTTCTGCGTATAACGTTACAGGACATTTTTCAAGACCACAACTTGGCACGATTGTAACGTACGTTACATCCCCGCTGGACTCATCAGGCAATCTACTTCTTCAGTGAGACTCTCTACACGGAGCTTGAATCAGGACAATGGAAGAGGACGAAATATACGTCGCAGTCGAGCCAAGTTGTTGCTGTATGATCTTCTATGAACCAAGCGACGATTCATCAGAGTTTACACACTGAGATTGTGCATGTTGTCAATACAATGTACATGACATGGTTAGTCAGATAGTCATGTGACCTAGCCTATCACATGACCGCATAACCATGTGGCTAAGTCAATCACATGACTGCATGGCCGTGTTGTTAAGTCAAATGGTTGCTTTCAAGGCACACACTGGCAAGGAAATAATGTTCACTAAAAGTTTTGGTCGTTCTCCACAGTGTTGTGTGTGGCGGAGGCAGCAACAGCAGAGAGAGAGAGAGAGAGAGAGAGAGAGAGAGAGAGAGAGAGAGAGAGAGAGAGAGAGAGAGAGAGAGAGAGAGAGAGAGAGAGAGAGAGAGAGAGAGAGAGAGAGAGAGAGCAAAGCAACCATGCCCACCTCCTCTCTCTCTCTATCTCTCTCCAGCATGGAGCAGTCACAAACAAACAGTAATTTCTGTTTACTTTGCCAAGTCGAGGAAAGGATGGCTGAGCGCTTGACTGGCTGTGATGCGTGTCAGTGGGTTCAAATCCAGACATCGGCGGAGTAGATCATACGCACTATCTGGAACACAGCACCAACACACATTGTCATCGGTATCCGGTTCACCAGATAACACCTGCTTACACGTACTGCATCGGCGTGGTTGCCATGACGATGATGATGACAGCGGTGGTGATGTAGCAGATGCTTGGCAGGTAGCCATGACAACCCCACCATCGCTCTGTCCAATGCCGGCAGCAGCAGCAGCACCATTACCATCACGCGACACAGCAGCAGCAGCAGCAGCTGCACTAGTAGATGCAGCAGGCGTAGCAGCAGCTGCAGTATCACTTGCAGTTACGCCTGTTGTGTTCTTCTGCAGTTTGTCTTTTTGTGCTTTCACGGCGCTAGCACTAGGGGGCAGTAGAACCTGGATGAAGTGGCGATGTTTACTAGTGTTGTCAAGACGACGGCTGTTACCATCGTTTCCACCACTATCTGCATGTGCCGCTGCTGCTGCTGACTCTGTGCAAAACTCTTTGCTGCTCCTCCGACGCTGTTCAGCTCGCTTAGTGTCAGAGTTAGTTGTGTCAGATGTGGTGTGAGCTGTGTTACTACCACTGTTACCATGGCTGTTGTCATTGACTACGCCGCCGCCACCACCACCCCCGATGCCGCCGGCAGCAGCTGCGCCTGCGACTGCAGCAGGAGTGTTGGGAGGCAGTGAGGTGCTGACTTTGACGTGAAAATTAGTTCTCAGACTTTGTATGGTGGACTCTGATGCCATTGGCGAATAGATAGGAACACTAGCTGCTGATGCAGCTGTGCTCGCTGCAGTAGTGGTCGCTGCAGTAGTGGTTGCTGCTGTACTAGTGGCTACTGCAGACACTACTGTGTTGTCATGGCGACTTGGTGGGCCTCTCTTACGTGGACTTCTTCGCAGACCTGTCATCGTTGACGAGGCGTCCGCTGTTGTCTTCGCCGTGGCTGCTCCTGTTTCTGTTGTAACGCCGTTGCCAGGAATTGAGGGGGTGGGTACGGTCGAGGATGGAGGTGGAGATGCTGTCTTTGATGTCTTGCTGTTACGTAGTCGCTCACAGACATGTCTCAAGTCACATGGCGGGCAAGTTGGACTCGCGATGATTTGTTTACCTAAGACAGACAAGAAAGTACAGAGAGAGATAGAGATAGAGATAGAGATAGAGAGAGAGAGAGAGAGAGAGAGAGAGAGAGAGAGAGAGAGACATGCACAAACACACACACACACACACTTGAACAAACCGAGAAAAAACGGATGTGCTGGTACGAGACTGTGGGTGTGAGTGCAAGAGTTCAGGGCGTGATACAGGCAGGTTACGCTATGAAGGCAGCGGCTGAGCGCACTGCACACTGACCCGTAACCACAGTTGCATACTCATGTTTCTGGACTCCTCGTACTACCGAGTTAAGAGTTTAAAAAGAACGTAACTCACCCAGTGATTCGAATGCCTCAGCGCACTGGTCATAGCCAAATATGGATACAATCTGTGCGAGTGCAGTCATGTCATCAGGTCCTTTGAAGAATGGATAGCGTGCTGAGAGCAGGCATAGGAAGATTACACCAGCTGCCCAGATATCCACAGCTACATACGGACACACACACACACACACACACACACATGCACAGACACACACACACACCCACACACATGCACAGACACACACACCCCACACACACAGAGTTAGATACAAAGACGATATTAAAGCACAAAGGAAAAGGAAGAGAAAAGCAGAAATAGTGGTAGAAAATGCACAGGAACAGCAGCAACAGAACGAGATGGATATTGCAGAGGAGCAATACTACAGTCGTCGCCAAAATTCCGGCCAATACCATGGATACATGTGCAGTGGTATGGTATGTGTTTACGGACGGTGCTTCATGGTGGTATGGTGCCTGTCGCATGCAAGCATTTACAGTAGAGTGTCTACCAACACAGCACAGAACAGTCTGCACTGCACTCTGTACAGTGTCTACCAACACAGCACAGAACAGTCTGCACTGCACTCTGTACAGTGTCTATCAACACAGCACAGAACAGTCTGCACTGCACTCTGTACAGTGTCTACCAACACAGCACTGAACAGTCTGCACTGCACTCTGTACAGTGTCTACCAACACAGCACTGAACAGTCTGCACTGCACTCTGTACAGTGTCTACCAACACAGCACTGAACAGTCTGCACTGCACTCTGTACAGTGTCTATCAACACAGCACTGAACAGTCTGCACTGCACTCTGTACAGTGTCTACCAACACAGCACTGAACAGTCTGCGCTGCACTCTGCCTGCGCTGCTGCAGTCGAGTCGAGCACAGCACCAACTGTGCACTGCAGAGTGCAGGCCTGGCAGCAGAGCATGTGCCGTGCACTTCATGAAGGCTAGTACTGGCAGTAGTACCAGTACTAGCAGTGGCAGTGCATGCGGCCATGCACAGCTACCTACTAGCAGTGGCAGTGGCAGTGCATGCGGCCATGCACAGCTACACAGCTACCGGTAGCTAGCATAGCATTGGCCGGATTATGTTGTTGATTATGTACACGCTTGCGTATGGTGACACGAAATGGAAATGTAAGATTCACCAAATCATGTGCCCTATCTACACCTACATGCTAGTGATCTGCATGCATAGATGTACACCCATTACCCCCTTTCCCCCCTTCCCACACCCACACACAGTGATCTGCATGCATAGATGTACACCCATTACCCCCTTCACACACACCCACACAGACACGCTGCAGACATGACACTCAGGGAGTTGTAGCGTGCAGAGTGGGGTTTTTGCTCTCGAGCTACACATTCCAGTCTCCCTTGGCGCAGGGCTGATTTACACACGCTGTCACGTGACATCTCTGGTCTGGCCAGTGCTTGGGATCAGCAGGTCAAGGCCTCGGTCGCAAGTTGGACCAGGGACTGCGTAGGACCTCCAAATCCGGGGTCGGCATGCCTATCATTCAGGTACTATGCACAATCTTGTGTTGTGTCCCTGTACGTTATGCAGTCCCCCCCCCCCCCCCCCCCACACACACACATGCACACACACACCAGGCGCGTACGCAGGGTCACCTCTAGGGGGGTTTCCAACCGAATCGCAAACAGTGACTCATTTTAACCCTTTCTAAAGAGCCCTAGGAAATTTTCAAAATTATGCAATTTTTTCGTGTTTTTTGGATCATAACGTCAGTTCTACTCACTCAATCTTCATTATCTTAGCCTTCCAATCCTGGAATTGGAAAGGTACCAGGGCGAGGGAGAGAATGAGGTCGATCATGATAACCAGGACACAGTACAGTCATGTATATATCCAACGCTATAATGCTATAGCGGTAGAGTGCAGCGACGGTGCGAAAAAATGCCCCAAACTGGCCCAAAGGCTGGCCCAAACGCGTCCTGCTCCAGCGATTTCGTTTTTCTTGATCGCAGAGTTTCGATTTTTGCTGTGTACTCTTGAAAATATCACAAGTGAAGCCCCTGCAAATTTGAGCAAGTCAGCGTGACGAAAAGTCTCAAATAATTCTCGATACTCGAGTCGCGCTGTGTGCTTTTGAAATTGCGAGATCGCGGCTCAACTTACGAACGATTTATCTCAAGAGATATTGCTCGCAGCGCATCGCAAATTGTTTCATCCGACAGCTGAGAGTTTTCTATTCGACCTGGATATTTGGATTGTTGGATTTGAGCAGGATTTGACTGAGTTACGATCTGTTGAAGTTTTGCATTCTTGCTAGATCGATCGTGCGCCCTACCAAAATATGCCCAAAAACGTTGCTCGTTTGGAACATTTGGGGGGTTTCCGGGCAACGGGGACCCCCCCCCCCTGCGTACGCGCCTGCACACACACACACACACACACACACACACACACTGCTGTGTACAGCACTGCACAGTGCAAAGTCCCATGTGCCAGATATGGATCACACAGACTGTGTTGACAAGGCACTTACCAGTTGTCTGGTCCGGGTACTTGAGCAGCACCTCTGGGGCCCTAAAACCGGGGGTGCCTGCCCGGGTAACGATCTGGGATGATCTCCCGTTACAGACAGTACACACAGCCGTGGGTTTGTGACCAATGGGGCAGAGAGAGGAGAGATGCCGACTGCCAATAACAGTCTGTGCAAACACATGTACAGAGAGAGAGAGAGAGAGAGAGAGAGAGAGAGAGAGAGAGAGAGAGAGAGAGAGAGAGAGAGAGAGAGAGAGAGAGAGAGAGAGAGAGAGAGAGAGAGAGAGAGAGAGAGAGAGAGAGAGAGAGAGAGAGAGAGAGAGAGAGAGAGGGGATAGAGAGAGAAAGAGAGCAAAAAACAACAATTGGTCAACGGGTCTTCTCTTCTCTCATATTTTCCCACAGCAGCAGGTCGAACAGCCATTGGTTTGTCATCAATGCAATACCAACTCCAATGCAGTGTCAACATTGCAATGACACATTTGATGAAGTGCGGGACGAAACTAACCGGCTATGTGCCCCCCCCCCCCCCCCCTACCCTACCTTTACCCCACTGCCCCAGGGGCATGCCAGGAGCTGTGCTGTCCCCGGGAGAGAAACGCCAGACTCGTCAAGTGTGGACACCACTACACATACGCCCTGCTCACGGGTGTTTGCAGTGCATGAACTCTGGACAGTCGTCCCCGTACGCCCTGCTCTCGGGTGTTTGCAGTGCATGAACTCTGGCCAGTCGTCCCCGTACGCAAAATGTGTACGCATTCGGATCTACCGTACATTTCCTCGTGTTTTGGGCGAATCTGAGCGGTACGACGCTGTCGAATTGGGCCTGAATTTGCCCTGAACCAGCCGCTATCGAAGTTAAATTAGGTGTTTTGAAGGCCACACGGGAACACTGCGGCCATGTCTTCTTTCCTGGGTCGTTTGTTTGAAAATCGGAGTGTTTTTGAGCTCGTAGTTTCGTCTTCGTTGTGGAATGGCCGTGCGTACATTCTCCTTGGAATTACCAAAGTCACACCCCCGTTTATTACATTACTAGGAGTTTTGCCGGCAGCTACGATAGTTTTTATCCCTGCTTCCATACGTCCTTTCATTGAACAGCCAAACGAAACTTTGTGGCACGCCTTAGTTTTTGTGGCGCGGGGGTCTCAAATTTGTCACTTTGAGTTGTACACAACAACCACATCAACACCTCAAAGGACCAAAAAACCAAGTGAGCAAAGTATTTCAACGTTGCGATTTTGCCTGGCCTGCTGTGAAGATGGAGACCTCTACTCGGTAGCAGATACTCGTATCAATAAGCTGGGAAGTAAAATGTTGGGATGAAAAGAGGCACATTCTCTCTCGGAAAAGGTCGTCGTTCCAACACACTGTGGCCATGGTGACTTACTCTACCCAGATCTGCACAACGCTAGATTTTGCATGCACGTGCGAGATTCGCCGCGCACATAGGCAGAGTCGAAAAATTTGTACTCTCGGATTTGCCGCCATCTTGACGAGTGGCCACTGCGAAACACCCGTGTGCTATGTCTTGTGAACATCGAAAACTGCACTCACAGGTATAGCACACATGAGGGGCTTGGCTAGAGGCTCCATACAGGACTGTACGATGGAGTTGACAGAATCACTTTTAACCCTTTGAGACCCCAACGATTGAATTCGATCGTTTGGTATACAGTGGCACTAAAATAATTATATCTCTGGTGTTCCTTCACCGATTTTCATAAACAAAGTATCTACGTTCCGAAAAGACCCTTGGCTATGGGCTATCACGTCCAAGTTATCCGAAGTCTCTAGGAGTTACGAGGCCGCCGTGGTGAGATTCGAAGTCGGAGACAAACTGAAAAATGCACTCAGATCGAAAAATTCAAATTTTCACGCTGCACTTGGCAGGAGATTTCCCGGAATGGTACGTCATACTCAAGCATGCTGCACACCAAAATTTTGCGCTTGAAACGAGCTTTCCGCTGTAGTTTGTTTGAAGTCGATGCGATGAAGGAGAATGGAATGGCGGCTGTTTGAACTTTGCTGAAGCTGTTCGCGCACGGCTGCTGTTTTGGGCGGCATTATAGGCCACGCAGAGCAGAGGCTGTGCAGGTAGTTGGCTTGAGTGTGGTACTAGTCTATTCGTCTTGGAAATACCTTTCCAACGGTGGTTAGTTTGTAAAAATCGGTGAATGTTTCATAGAGATACGAGCGAAAGTGCATGTCATTTGAAGGTGCGAAAATTGTCATACTTTCAGTGGGGCCTCAAAGGGTTAAACTCACATGCATACCCCCCCCCCCCCCCCCCCCCCCACCCACCCACACCTACATCCACACACACACAGCCACCCACACCCATCCACACACACGCACCCAAACACACAGCACACACAAAGAGCACACATATATGTCCTACTTACCGTGGATAGCACAGTTGCCGTGGTTACAGTTGGGTCTAATATTGACCGAGATCTTGTCCTTGACATAGTACCCAGACCAGCACCAGCCTTCGCAGTGGTTCGACTACTAACAGATCGTGTGGCTAAATGGCTGGCACCAGCAGCTGCAGACAAAGACCCATGAGCAGCTGTCCTGCTGTTGTGCAGACGCTGTTGATGATGATTAGCAGACATACTAAGGTTTGTCCGCTCACCTGACACAGTCGGATCCTTGCTACCCTTTCTACCGAGGACATGCTGTTGCTCATTGGTCGTTTTAGCAGACAATGAGCGCTGACGATGTAATGATGGAGGATGACTTGTATCCGATTCACGGTAGCGCCGCTTCACATCACCTGCCGCCGCCTGAGGTTGATCGGGGCGACGTTTGCTGGTGACAGAACTTTCAGTAGCCGACTGCTTTTCACGACGGTCGCGCTCTTTTTGCTGTTGCCAATCCGGTAGCTTCTCATCCACCTCCTTGTGACGATCCGGAAGCTTCTGGTCCATTTCCTGGAGTTGATCTGTATGTCGTTGATCCTCCTGTTGGTGGTGCTTGCGCTTGCGAGGGCTACTTCTCTGCTGTTGTTGGGGTAGTACTGGGGAGCCAGCATCAGCCGCAGCAGCAGCAACACCAGTACCATGCTGCGTATGCTCATGATCGGTAGCATGTTCCAAAATGGGCTTTGCATGCAGCATGCGTGTCACCAGCCGTACTCACTCCAGTGGCGGGCTTCTCTCCAGGCTGCCTAACCTTTTCCTGGCCAGTGGTGGTATTAATAGCTGTACTTGTGGTTGCTGATGCTCTCCGCCTTGACCACCTCTGCTGGTCGCTTACGTGGACTGGATGCCAAGCGTGAGGACACTCGACGTGATGTTCCTGAGTGCTGCCTTGACAACGCTGCCTTGGACGTGGATGACAACGGTGTCGCCTTGGAAGCTGAGCGTGATGTACCATGACTGGTGGACCGTGAATCTACAGAGAGAGAGAGAGAGAGAGAGAGAGAGAGAGAGAGAGAGAGAGAGAGAGAGAGAGAGAGAGAGAGAGAGAGAGAGAGAGAGAGAGAGAGAGAGAGAGAGGAAAGAGAGAGAGAGACAGAGAGAAAGTAAGAGAGAACTATGAGTCAAGCTAGCTGGCACACATGAACAAGAACATCTCTACAACACAAAAGTACTAGTAGATGAAGGGCATACGGCATAACACTTAGATGATTCATCATGAAGGGCAAACAGCCTAACACTTTTTGAAGGGCATACAGCCTAACACTATTTTTGTGTAAATGCACACATCACCAGATTGGTGACATTCCAACAGCAGGTGAACAACTAGAATCAGCACAGGGTGTTCAGGTCGGAACTAGACACAGCGGCCGCCACAACTACATGACTTGTAACGGTTGACGCAAACTAAGCGGATTTAACGTACGGCTACTAGAAGAAGAGCGCCGGAGAGGTTTGACTGGTTGATTGATAGTCAACAGCAGAGGGTCATCTCCAACCTTGTGGGCCAGGCCAAAGTCGACGAGACAGAAACTGGAACACACACACGCACACACACATACACACATACACACACACACAAATGAACATACACACACCTGTTAAGTGGTGTGTATACCGTATTGTCTTGTACCTGTCCCATTGTAGAAGCCTGTTTTGAATAGAAGCCTGTTTTGAATAGAAGCCTGATTTTCAAAATACACTGTCGGCGCATAAGCCTGGTTTGAGTGTTGACATACATAGAAATACCCGTATTAGAAATACCCGTATTGTATAGAAATACCCGTATTGTATAGAAGCCTGTCTCACATAGAAGCCTGCAAAATTTCACCAAAAAGTCATATAAGCTGCGGCTTTTATACACGATTTTACGGTATACAAATACAGGAAGAGGCACACACATACTGACATAGAGGCACATAGACAAACGCATGGATGCACAAAATGCAGCAAAAATAAAAATAAAACACTCATACCACATGCAAACACAAAGCTTATCAGGTACATAAAAAATTCAAATAAAAACATAGACCCTAAACATGCACACACACACACACACACACACATACACATACACACACACGCGTGCACGCACAAACACACACACACACACGTACACACACACGCACGCACACACACACACAGCAGCAGCAGCAGTAGCAGTAGCAGAGACCCACCTCTTGGTCTTTGAATCATGTAGGAAGTTGGATGGTTTGACGTCTCGATGCACAACGTCTTTAGAATGTACGTGTGCGAGCGACTCAAACAGAGCTGTCATGTAGCGACTTGTGTCCCGTACTGATAACTTCAACAAGTAATCCTGGCATATAAGCAAGACAAACAAACAGACAGATGGACAGACAGATGTTGATGATGAAAGAACAATTACTAATTACTGTTCATTGGACAGTGGCACGTGTGATAAAGATAGATACACCGGGAGAAGTGGTCCCGTCCACCGGATAGATAGATAGATAGATAGATAGATAGATTGTGAGTGTGTGAGTGAGTGAGTGAGAGAGAGAGGAGAGAGAGAGAGAGAGAGAGAGAGAGAGAGAGAGAGAGAGAGAGAGAGAGAGAGAGAGAGAGAGAAGGAGAGAGAAAGAGGGAGAGAGAGAAGGAGAGAGAAAGAGGGAGAGAGAGAGAGAGAGAGAGAGAGAGAGAAAGAGAGAGAGAAGGAGAGAGAAAGAGGGAGAGAGAAGCAGAGAAGCAGAGAGAGAGAGAGAGAGAGAGAGAGAGAGAGAGAGAGAGAGAGAGAGAGAGAGAGAGAGAGAGAGAGAGAGAGAGAGAGAGAGAGAGAGAGAGAGAGAGAGAGAGAGAGAGAGAATAGTTACCGTAAATCTCTGATGAGGTACAAACGGCATAACCAAAACAACATGGTCATTCTCTCGAATACATCCCAGAACTGGAACAATATTGTGTTTACCGCTGTAGTACACACAGAAACACAGACAGACACAGACAGACACACACAAACACACAAACATAAACACACAAATATCCAGATGAGATCATCACAGGCACCACACACCCAGCAATGACATTACCAACACCACACACACACACACACAGCAATGACATCACAATGTTGTTCGCTGATGATTCCTCATGAAGAGGAAAATTGCAGAGTTTCTGGGAGTGATTCGATGTTTTGCTGGCTGCAGGCCTGGCCTTCGGGTAGATCGCCGAGCCACCAAGACTGCCCTGGTGGTGAAACCTGACTTCAAGGATGAGGGCGACAAGATGTTTTCGGATCTGGAGGTTGAGGTTACCCTGTCCAGTCGCTTCCTTGGCAGCTGCATTGGCGACCATGATGGTCTGCAGGACTACATCGCACACAAGGTACAAGTGTGTGTCGACTGCCTGGAGCACATGGCCAATGCAGCAAAAGCATACCCTCATGCAGGGTACAGTACATTCACTCAGTCTCTCAGGGTTCTAGTCATGTCAAAATAGTAGGGGGGGGGGGGGGGTGAGCATGGGAAACAGTTACCCTATATCCCATTTTTCCACTTTCCAATATTGTCTTGCCACGCCAAATGCAACGTATATGGGGTGAATCCCTCACTTCATCCCAGACAATGTGGCTGGGAGGGCTGCCTGCCTTGGCCGGCTGCAGTCACCCCCATGTAGACTGTAGTGCACTGCACTAGCACTTGAGTCGAGATGGTGGAGTACAACCCATATCCTAGGTTCTAGGCGTAGGTATGTACAGTACAGTACGTAGCACTGGCTACTCAGGCTCAGTGCTAGCTCTTCACTCAAGCTCAAATGCACTTGAGTATGCACTTGAGTACGTCAGTAAAATGTAACAGGTTGGGTCATGGTTCGCTGCTTCTGGTGGTGTACAGGGCTGTGGCTAGGCTGGGTCTTGTCAGATGACCAATGTTAGGGTGTTCGGTGCCTCGAACCCAGGCGCATTTTGAGTGGAAACAGTTTTGTACGGGGTCCGTGGCACAATCGTACATCACTGTGCTTCTTGCCTTGGCAAGGTAAAATTTTAGCAGCTCAGGACGAGTTTGTTTCTTTGCTGGAAAGAGGAGATGTCTCTGCTGTTGAGACCGTAAGTCCCGTTTCCACACGACGAATTTTAGCAATGTTACGCCCTGCGCAACTTCAGGGTATCGATTTCGGCCTGTTCTGGGCCGGTCGCAACGTCGGCGACTATTCCATCGTCTTCAGCGTCGAAAAACTACGCAGTGTGTGAAATTTGGAGGCTGTACGATGCTGTCTTCTTGTTCTATGAGCGATCGATTTGCGCCAGGGTACCAAATGTATGGAGTACATGTACATGTACAAGGAGTTGATGGACTTGGCTGGTAGTGTTGTTTATTTGTAGTTTCGCTGAGCTACCACATCAGATAAACCTCTGGTCGCTGTATCTGGAGAGTGGAGAAAGCCATTGTGCAGATAAATTGGTCAAGAGCAGATTTCCTGCCAATACTGCGTTCAATATGCAGCTGAAAATCTGCACAGAATTGACACTCTGAGGATTTGCAAAATTGCAGCGCGCTAACGCAGTGCAGCTACGCAATGCCGTATGCACCGTGTCTGGAGTACATTGTCATCCACATAGCATGGGCAATGTAGGACCAGTGTATTTGTCGACTTTATAATTTACATCCAAATTACGCTTGCACAATCATCCGATAAATGAACTGTCTGTTGATTGTGCAAATCGTATGAATGAATTACATGTGACGTGCGACACCAATTGCCCCGAAGTGCTGCACGCGCCGTATATGACTGGGAACAAGTTGTCCTTCTAAAGCTGATGATTTGCAGGACTGCTGCTGCCTTGGCCTGGCTGAAGCTTACATCGTGTTGCAATGGTGCAGCATACCTGTTAATTGGCTGAATGCATCCAGTCCCGCGGCGCAACATGCCCGGGTGCAGGTTGCGTCTCGGCTGAGTGTGTATGTTATTTTCTTGGATGCCTCATCTACATGGGGTAGATAACTGTAATCTCCTCCTGGTGATGTGTTTTTGTAGTACCCGTATTCCAATTAGCTTCAGCCTGTGAAGGGTTACATCTTTCGTATCTATTTCGACTAATTTGTACGCGTTGCTATGGTGGTTGCTATGGGCGTAGTTTGAATTTGGCTATTTGGAATACCAAAAAAATTAGTCAAGTGATGGAAGCTCTCTATTGGCTATCATCTGTGGAAATTTGAAAGACCCTGAACGAAATTGATTTTCACCTTGTTCTAGTTGGTTTTGAATTTCCCGGCTTTGTGCCACTGGCCTGCATCAAAACTGTTCCAGAAAAAGTGCCAACAAGCGCACTTCAAACGATCATAACTCTTGAACGTCTGGTCGGATTTAGACAAACCTCATATATTTCCCGGCTAGTTTATCCTACTCTTTCCAATGAGACTAAAATCGAGGAGATCGGAGCAACTTTCAAAATCGTCCGAACACCCTACCAATGTACACTGCATGCAGACATGACCTTGGTGAACACATGATCCATGCTCATGTAGCTGTTTGCTTCCTTTTTCATATTTTGTTAATTTACCTATAATCACATTGTCACAACTGCCTGATGAATGCCCATAATTGGACAAAGCGAAAGGAGATGCAAGCTGCAATGAAAGATTTGTAGTGGTGTGTGTGTGTGTGTGTCTGTGTGGATACGTGACTGATGGCGGGGGTCTGGGGGTGCAGCCCCCAGAACGATGCATTTTAACTAGAACGTTGGCCGGCTGGCATAAAATCCTGGCTAGACCTCTGGAACCATCTATGCATGAAAAACACGAAAATCGGAAAATGAGTAGGGGGGAGGCAATTTCTCACAGGGGGGCGCGCAAACAGAGTAGGGGGGCGCTGCGCCCCCCTACCCCCCTTTGGCTAGAACCCTGGTCTCTGTACAGTGAGTGCACCTACTTCCACCAATCTTCAGTGTGTTCGCGGTCATTTCCGTTGGCCATCATTCAGGAGTGGAATTGTCTTCCTCCAGAGCTTCTCACAACACCACCTTCTCTACCTCGCCTTCAGCTGTTCAAGGAACGAGTTCACAAGTATCTGCCAAACTGCTGACTGGTGTTGGGCCTCTACACACCTGTAATATCACACAGCCGCACACACTATTCCACATGGCCGACTTGCCCGTCATTCGAAGCGTCCTCCTTAAATTGTTGTTGATCTTATATAGCCGCCTTGTCCATCCTACCGTGCTGTCATCTTTACCTGTTATGTCTTAGTTGCTCCCCAGTGCTACCCGTCATTTTCTTTTCTTGTCAGGTGTTTACCCCGTCCGTAATTGGTCCAGAGAACTTTGATCGGGAGCACGAGCTGTTCGCCCGTCCTGTCAAGTTTGGTCGCTTGGCCGTACCGGATCCAGTGAGCACCTCTGCCCCAGCATTTGCTACATGATCCCATGACACCACTGCTATTCTCCAGGATGCGATCAAGACTGGTAGTGATGGTAACGTGAATGACCACAACGCACAGTCGCCAGGTGACTCTCAACTCCAGAAAGTCCAGAGATGTGCACAGATGTGCAGTCTGCCCAGATCAGCCAGCAGCTCATCGCGGGACGTTTTAGCGATCAATGGAATTGAAAATCCGTTGTACGTAGTACAAATCGTACTCTGAAAACGTGATGTGAATTTTCGCCGTCGGAGACCCTGTATGCAGAGTTGCACGATCTTGGGAGCAGATTTACTGTTGCTGACGCCTGACCAGTCAGCTTGCATACGAGTGCGAGGGGGGGGGGGGGGGGGGGGGGGTCATACGCGTCCCGTATGGCATGGGTTCACATCCGCACCCAGTTCGTAATTTTTCATGCCGGCGACCTTCACCAACGAGGATCTTGCCGGGGACTCATCGATTTGTCGTGCCACAATGGGGTGGGCATCGGAGCTGGGCACTGATCGGACTTACTGTCACTCAATGAATGATTTTAGTTTGGCTTGTGTAAGTTTTCAAACCCCTCCTCGGGCCCTTACCGGTTTTAAGTACAGTGAAACCTGTGTAAGACGACCGCCGCTCAAGGGACCTTCAAAATCTGGTCTCTGATACCAGGTGGTCGCCTTATCCAGGGTCATTTGACTGGAAATAGCATCCCTTGATCCCGGTTGCGGTGGTCTTCTAGGACAGGTGGTCGCCTTATCCGAGTGGTCACCTTATCCGAGTGGTCACCTTATCCGAGTGGTCACCTTATCCGAGTGGTCACCTTATCCGAGTGGTCACCTTATCCGAGTGGTCACCTTATCCGAGTGGTCACCTTATCCGAGTGGTCACCTTATCCGAGTGGTCACCTTATCCCAGTGGTCACCTTATCCCAGTGGTCACCTTATCCGAGTGGTCACCTTATCCGAGTGGTCGCCTTATCCGAGTGGTCACCTTATCCGAGTGGTCGCCTTATCCGAGTGGTCGCCTTATCCGAGTGGTCGCCTTATCCGAGTGGTCACCTTATCCGAGTGGTCACCTTATCCGAGTGGTCACCTTATCCGAGTGGTCACCTTATCCGAGTGGTCGCCTTATCCGAGTGGTCGCCTTATCCGAGTGGTCGCCTTATCCGAGTGGTCGCCTTATCCGAGTGGTCACCTTATCCGAGTGGTCACCTTATCCGAGTGGTCACCTTATCCGAGTGGTCACCTTATCCGAGTGGTCACCTTATCCGAGTGGTCACCTTATCCGAGTGGTCACCTTATCCGAGTGGTCACCTTATCCGAGTGGTCACCTTATCCGAGTGGTCACCTTATCCGAGTGGTCACCTTATCCGAGTGGTCACCTTATCCGAGTGGTCACCTTATCCGAGTGGTCACCTTATCCCAGTGGTCACCTTATCCCAGTGGTCACCTTATCCGAGTGGTCGCCTTATCCGAGTGGTCGCCTTATCCGAGTGGTCACCTTATCCGAGTGGTCACCTTATCCGAGTGGTCGCCTTATCCGAGTGGTCGCCTTATCCGAGTGGTCACCTTATCCGAGTGGTCACCTTATCCGAGTGGTCACCTTATCCGAGTGGTCGCCTTATCCGAGTGGTCGCCTTATCCGAGTGGTCACCTTATCCGAGTGGTCGCCTTATCCGAGTGGTCGCCTTATCCGAGTGGTCGCCTTATCCGAGTGGTCACCTTATCCGAGTGGTCACCTTATCCGAGTGGTCACCTTATCCGAGTGGTCACCTTATCCGAGTGGTCACCTTATCCGAGTGGTCACCTTATCCGAGTGGTCACCTTATCCGAGTGGTCACCTTATCCGAGTGGTCACCTTATCCGAGTGGTCACCTTATCCGAGTGGTCACCTTATCCGAGTGGTCACCTTATCCCAGTGGTCACCTTATCCGAGTGGTCGCCTTGACAGGTTTGACTGTACTAGTTTTCATACAGTACAGCAGCCGTCACACACCGCTCTTTTAGAACTCTTCTAGTTTCAACTTTTCTTCTGTACTTCAAGTACATGTGCAATATGATTTACTGACTTTTGCCCGTACAAGAGGCGCTGGTCCCCCCCCCCCCCAACACACACACACACACACACACAAAAACACCATTACAAAACACCATCCAAAGAGCACTGACATTGTTGCAATCAGCGCTTACCCAAGTTGATGAAGGAAGGATAGTTCATTTTCAGTACGGCGTGGTGAGCTGGTGGGTACGATGTGTTTCAGTGCTAATAGAGTGTCAGGTTGTTCTTTAGGGTTAGCAAGGTATACGGTGCTGAATGTACCTAGGCACAAACAAACCACAAACAAATACACACAAACACATACACACACACACATACACACACACACATACACGCACACACACACACAGAGTCACAGACATAACAAAAATGTTTAGAAATACGGAAATGAATAAATACTGAAGTATTGTGATACTGTACAAGCAGAAAATTTCGTCGGTCAATAATTTCGTCCTACTCCAAAGAAAGAGAGTTCGTCCGGTTGAAAATTTCGTCCATGGATCACAAGAGTGTATTGAAAAGCTGGACAAATCGAAGTTAGTCCGGCATTTAATTTAGTCCAAAAAGCTCCTTGGACGAAAAAGACGAAATTAAATTCCAGACGAATATTTCTGCTTATACAGTATGGGGACACACAAATATAATTATGTTGGACTCAGCAGGCAGTCATTGTCCTATAGTCAGAAGTCCAATAGAGTGTCGAACTCATGATCTATAGGCTGTTTCAAAAAGATTAGCAATCAGGTTTTGGTCTTAAAAAGTATGAAGATAAGGGAAAATTGGACAACGAAGTACATAAAATGGCTGGTTAGGGCACGGCAAATTGTTCTGTGAAGGTTTCGGAACAATTGGACCAGCCGTTAAGGAGTTAGAATTTCGGCCAGGTTTCCGGCCTTTTCCCATGGTTTACAATTTGCCCTGGAAGCCAGTATCGATTTTTCTATCAAAACCCACGATTTATCTTTTCCTTTCTGGCCTTGTGGTTATGGATGCTGTCTGCTGACCATGAAATTGTGAGTTCAAATCCCAACCTATCTTCAACTCACACTTTTTTTCATTGTTTTTTGGTGATCAAGCAGACTTGTTGTTGTTCACGGTTGTTGTTGTTGGAGCTCCCGCTTCCTCCCGAACTGACTGACACTTGACTGGTTCACGCCATGTGAACACACCGACAACACTGAAACAACGGTGTGAGTGAATACGGAAGTCATTGCGCTGTAGCTTTGAATACACCGGCACATCGATCGATCGATTTCTTTTTGAGAATTATTTTAGTATTTCAAGATCGCCAGTTTATTTGAATTTAGAAGTCAACGCCGTCTTCTATCAGCTTTCACAGGCGTCTGCTTTTCTCAAAATGTTGTCGAAGTCATACGGATAGCTTCGCCAAGTCATGGCCTTGGGAATGCGTCTGTGTCGATGTCGTTTTCGTCACATGGTGAGAGTAAATTGCATCGCAGCTCAAAGAAACCATTTGGTCACAAAACATATTGGGACCCATGCCGCTCGTCAGCCTCGGCATTGACTACACTTTCGACATGTCCTCTCTGACTCCATAATCGATACGAGGAAGAACTCGTTTGTTGTGAACCAGACGTACACGACTGTACCGACATCGACCTGAGTGAGTTGTCATTTTTCATGCTTTCGCGCGGAATATTTCTTCGAGTTCACAGTGAGTTTTTCCAGGCAGCGCTCGAGCGCTCATACGGTAAGACGGCAAACTCCCCGGGCGATCACCAGGATTGCTAATCTTTTTGAAACTGACGGTAGTCATACTTTTATGACACCGTCTAACTCACTTGACTTTACCTGTAGAAAGTGGAAACATTTCGGATTTTCCACAAAGCAAACTGCATACTGAACTTCCGACTGCCTATAGTGACTCGACTGCCTACTGAGTCCTTTATACTACAATGCAGCACATTGTCTGTTCTGATAAGAACAACGTGAGAAGAAGAAAGGCAGAAACTTTCCAAGACAAACACAGGCCACACTGAAGACGACGATGATACTTATGACGATAGCAGCAACAAGCGGTCACCATTACAGCAGTTGGAATACCAGTACCACCGTCAACACACCAGAAACACCAGCAGACGCACAACCAACAGAAGCAGCAGCAGCAACGGCAACAGCAGGAGCGTAGGGGTGTAACTAACAGTTAAAAAGTAAAGTTCACACGTTCGCATTGCTGCCGGCTATGTGTTGAGAAACACAACCATCTTGAGAAGTTTCGCCAAAATTGCAAGTTGGCCGACTCTGTACAATTTGCATGTATGCAATTTGTGTTGTCCAGCATAGCAAGCTACGTTCATTTCGGCGGTGTCAGAGTGCGAAATGAATGATATTCGTTTCAGGGACGACAATCACTTACTGTAAATATACAAAATTTCGGCGCTGCAAAATTTCGGCACTTCACGATTTTGGACATTTCGGCGGCGATTTATTTTCGGCGTGGGGTATAGAGGGCATGGTATACAAGGTATAGTGCGACAGATGCTGTGAAAAATTTCATCGGCGTTTTAATTTAGGCGTTTTGGGTCGGTGCCGAATATAGCCGAAATTAAATAGCTGCCGAAAATTTGTATATTTACAGTATACGGCAATCCCTAAACTGGACCAGAGAAACCACTGGAGAGAGACACCACCACGCCATACCATACACCACCCCGCTACGCCACACACCATCCTGTCCTGCCACACACCATCCCGTCCTGCCACACACCATCCCGTCCTGCCACACACGATCCCATAATGCCACACACCATCCCGTCCTGCTACACACCATCCCATAATGCCACACACAATCCCGTCCTGCCACACACCATCCCACAATGCCACACACCATCCCGTCCTGCCACACACCATCCCATAATGCCACACACCATCCCATAATGCCACACACCATCCCGTCCTGCCACACACCATCCCGTCCTGCCACACACCATCCCGTCCTGCCACACACCATCCCGTCCTGCCACACACCATCCCGTCCTGCCACACACCATCCCGTCCTGCCACACACCATCCCGTCCTGCCACACACCACTCTGCCATACCACAAACAGCCTAGCAATAGAAACATTCTCACCACCCAACACAACACCACAACTCACCTCCCCCGACTTTCCGCAACACAACAAAGTTCTCCGCAACCGTCTTTACACACGACAGAAAGGAAGCAACATCACAATCTGCAAATACACGTACAAACACATACACACACATACACAGACACACACATACACACACACACACACACACACACACACGCACAGACAAAGGCGCAGACACAGACACAGACACACACACACACACAACAAAACATTCTGGATCTGCTAGATATATTTGGCTAGACCACCCGTGTTTAGCTGGAATGAACAACACATGACTTAACACATGACTGAGCACATGGATAGTATAGTGCCTACTGTTCTTACACTGCATGACTGGCCAGCTCTCCAGTGACTCATCGGATACAGATCACTGCTGGCCTGGTCAACTGGGCCAGCAACCCGGTTGCGGGGTGGGGGGAGGTGTGAAAAAAGAACACCGGGTCACTTGTGACCCGGTTGGGAGTATACACGATAGCCACGTCGAGTAATAGTGAAGTTTCGCTCTACGTAATTACGTATGAAAATCCGCATGTCGTACGCGCCGGAGAGCGAGGGCAACTTTCATACGTAAATCTCTCTACGGATTTCCGTAGGAAAGCTGTTTCCTACGTTGGGTCCTCCGCAGGACTTTTTGAAATATTTTTCACATTTTCCAGATTTGTCCATGGCAACGTTCAAGCCGCGCGAAACACAAGGTACACACACCGTACACCACGTGCAAAATAAACGCGGTTTCTGTTCGTGGTGCATGCAGTGGGCGCATGCAGCCAACGCGTCTCCAAAGCAACAGCGCATGTTTAGCAGTTGTGAAGAAATCAAGTAGAGCGAAACCCAACAGCTCTGATTTTTACGTTTGAAAATTCCGCATGCAGTTCCTACGTTATTTTCATACGTAATTCCGTGGAGCGAAACCTCCCTATTCCCTGTCTTTCCAGCCACAGCCGGTCTCTCTGGTGGTCACGCAGTCGGGTGCTAACTTTATCCAGTAAACATACACACACATGTGTCTCGCCCTGTCCTGTAGAGCCACTGCCACAAGGGTCACGTGGCCCCAGAGGAGCAACGGAGAGAGAATTGGAGAATACCGTTCCGTTACGTTCCTGAAAACAAAACAAAAGCACGTCTGGTGTAGGGTTTTGGGTGATTGGCACTGATTGCGACCACAATGTCGTCGGGTGATCGGGGGGGGGGGGGGGGGGGAGTGCTGGAGGAGCGGTCACAAGATGTGCAGTGTGCACCGCAACACGTTTCCATGGTGATCGGGTGAGTACTGGGGCAGTGGTCACAATATTGCAAAAGGATTCACGAGCGGGATTCCAACCCAGCATCCCTGTCTTTCCGAGACAGTGCCCTACCGATTAGGCTAGCGGGGATCACACACACCCGTGGCTCCTTCTTGCTACAAGATGTGTAATGTGCATGCAGCAGGGTGCCATGGTACTGTAAGACATGTATATATAACGAGGAAGCAAATCTAACGTTTTAACGGATGACATTTCTTCGTTATAATAAGATCCGTTGAGGCCGTACTGCTTCATATATGCTGTGTGTGGATATGGCAGAATACTGGAAGATCGTTAACATATCTTCTCGTTAACCTATGAATTTTGGACAATCGTTAAATTTGCGACTCGTTATAATAACATGTCTTACAGTAGTCGGGTAGTCGGGTACAATCACGCACACACTCTTCGGGGGGGGGGGGGGGGGGGGGCAGACTTCCACAGCTCCATGGCCACCAGTCGCAGTGATCATTATTATGATCATGCGTGCACACATACACACTTGTGGGCGCGCACGCGCACACACACACGCGCACACGTGAGTGTGTCAGCTCCATGGCCACCAGTCGCAGTGATCATAATTATGATCATGCGTGCACACATACACACTTGTGTGTGCGCGCACACACACACACGCGCACGTGAGTGTGTCAGCTCCATGGCCACCAGTCGCAGTGATCATAATTATGATCATGCGTGCACACATACACACTTGTGTGTGCGCGCACACACACACACGCGCGCGCGCGCACGTGAGTGTATGTGTGTGTGTGTGTGTGTGTGTGTGTGTGTGTGTGTGTGTGTGTGTGTGTGTGTGTGTGTGTGTGTGTGTGTGTGTGTTACTTGTTTGGGATACAATGGTGATAACATTCGGATGAGGGCAGGTATTTATTCCATAATGAAGAATCCCTCCGGATGATTCGCTTCCATTTAATTAAAACATCTTTCGCCTGGTCTGAAGGTATTCTGTGCCCTTGTGAACATAGACACGTGCGCGCGCGCACACACACACACGCACGCACGCACATGAACACACATACTGCACAAGTACATTCCATTCACCTTCTGCCACAGGTTGTCGTTGCTCAGGTTCAGTTGGATCTGCAGTACTGCTCTTCTCGTGCTCTGGAACTCTACCCAAACCAGCTGTTGTTGGCGAACGGATATTACATGTATTAACTGCATCAGGTTCTGCAGACGTCTCTACAAATCCCAACATTTCACTCGAAAGTGCCATGTGGACACTGCCGCTGTTTTTGCCTTCTGCAATGGAGAGATTGGAGTCGCGGACCTCCAACATGCTCCCGTGTGACACCATCATGGCGTGAAAGCACTCAGCACCGCAAAACCTTGCAAGTCTAGCCAGAAAAGCACAGCATGCTCAAATAATCCTCGTCGTGACAGAAGCCAAACTCTTCTTTCTGTCTCAGCTACGCAAACATGCTGAACATAGCTTGCATTTGCTACTCAAACTTTCAAACTGTGAATCGTGTTGACCCCTATGATTTCTCCGGGTTTTCGGAGAACTCTTAGATTTACATTCTGGCTGATTTTGCAGTGTAATTCGAGGGAAAGTGAACGGAAAAGCGGTTTCTTGCTGCGATGTTCATATGGAAATCAATTCGCGGTGGAGTGGGCGCTCTTTTCACACAAACCAGATTGAATTTCGTTTTTCACTTTTCGCGCGGTTCGCTTAGCTCCTCAAACGCCATTTTCTTCCCATCACCAAGGAGATGATCAAACTGGGTGCGAGGAGAGCGAGGGAAATGGGAAATTTTGAGTTTTCGGATTGTTGCACGCGCATGTAGCCATTTGTTTTTGGAAAGTGTGAAACCTTTCTCTGTCGAGTGTGGTTGAGTTTTTGAGCGAGGACCAGGGCAAAACAGTCAGTGGTCCCTCGACATCCCCTGCTGATCGTCCCTTGCTAATAGTAGTACTAGTACCACGTGTGGACCTCTCTGTCCCTAATTTCCCCTCGTGTTGACCTCAGGAGCTCTCTAGCTCTCTAGCCACAACCAGCTATGTTTCACGGTATGTACCGGTATGAATGTGCCAAGTGTAAATCTACAATGTACCAATGACTGAGTTTTATGTTCTGATGTACTTCATCACCAGCTTTCTTGACAAATGTGTGTTGGTGTGTGAGCCACCCGGCGCGTCTGTATTAGCACATGTATGCTCATTAATTTTGTATCATTGTTCCGAGATTCCAAAATTGGTTCGAAGCAGTTCACAGACACACGTGATGTGTAATTTTTTCCTGAATGAATTTTTCCTTGACGGCTAGAGTTCCCTGAGACCCGTCGCCGCTCCTATCAATCCTATCCACAGCTATTCACTATTACCCGTACATGTACGAGCTCGCATACAGACCACACCTGACCTGAGATGCAGACCATGCTACATTCATGTACATTGTGCAGATAAGCACGAGATTCGTACACTACGGAATCATGAATGGTTTTACGCAGAATAATACCAGTACCCACTCCATGTACTACATGTCCTTACAAAGTTACAGGACTTGTTACTGATACAAAATATACATGTACTTGAATAAACACTGTCCACTATCTCATTCGGTGACTTGGTGTACTGCCTACGGGTACACTAACCTTGCACTGTAGACTTGGACCACGCATTACAGTGCACTGCATATATTGCTACAGGATTACAGTACAACTGTATCTGTATGACTCAATAACATAACAATCATATAGATTTCTACTATCCTCACCACATACGCTGTCTGTCAGGCTGACTTCGTCCACCACACCAGTAACACGACTCCCAGTGAGAGAAGATCCTGATTCCTTCATACAACCCTGTTGCCACCATTAAAGATCTCATTTGTGAAGCTTGAACAGTGGTGAATGACAAGACATTCTCAGTACTGCTCTTCAAAAAGAGAATTACTGCGACCATGAGGCAGCATAATTGTACCCTTTGAGATAACACCCATGCTGACATGCCACAAGAATCAGTGCAAGATCACCCCGATACGTACGATATCATGACTATGGGCATCGATACAAAGTAGGCGCAGAGGATCATCACACACTGGATGTTGAGGTGGCAGTTCAGACTTTGAGCTCCAGCACCGCTGACTGCAGGTTATCAGTCACACGACATGGTCCTTGTGGCATTCATTCCATACAGTCACTCACCACTATGTCCGTGTGGCATTCACTCCATACATTCACTCACAGGTTGTGAGCTCTAGTGTATAGAGGATGATTATGTGCAGTGCGTAGTGTATAGAGTATGTTACTTGTTGTTCAGTGACCTTACTGACCTTACTGTCATTACTGTTATTACTGTCCTTGGGCCCTAATTGGTGTAGCCGTAGAGATCTAGGCACTGAGGGTTAATTTTTGTTCAGCCAGTCAGTGGCCTTGGCTGGCAATTTTCATCTTTCTTCAGCTAACTTTGTATGTATGTGTATTCTCTCTCTTTCTCTCTCTTTCTCTCTCTCTCTCTCTCTCTCTCTCTTTCTCTCTCTCTCTCTTGCTCTCTCTCTCTCTCTCTTTCTCTCTCTCTCTCTCTCTCTCTCTCTCTCTCTCTCTCTCTCTCTCTCTCTCTCTCTCTCTCTCTCTCTCTCTCTCTCTCTCTCTCTCTCTCTCTCTCTCTTGTGTGCACTATGCTGTACTGTACGGTAGCAATCTCTATCAAACCCGGCGAGAAGCACGTGTCGTCATTGCGAATGGTATGGCGTGTTACATCCGCTGCTCTAGACAAGTCCGTCACATTGTCTGCAACCGATGGTAGGTAACTAGGTTTATGTAACATTGCTACGTATCTCATAGCTAGGCGTGCCACCAGACCTGACATCATGTAACATTGCTACCTATCTCATAGCTAGACTTGCCACCAGACCTGACATCATGTGTTGTATTAGCCTCTCTGTACATTTACCCTTTGACTGCTGCGGGCTACTGCCCCCAGGGCACTATGGACCAGCGAAAATGGGTATAATTTGTACTGAGAAGTGAGAACACACCACGACACAAGTAATGTCCGTAATTCTAGTATCCATTCTCCAAAGTTCATTGTCTTTGGCTTCCTGGAAGCTACTTCAACAAGGAGAACCATGAGCTGAAGCACCAGTCTTCACAAAGGCTGGAGACCAGCTTTAGAGCAAAGTGAATTTGTCCTACAATTGTAGCGCAGCTGCGTAAGTCAAAAAGAGTTTTGCTTCAGCCGCCATTTGACTCTCCTTGCTCGTATCCAGCTCAATCATATTTTAGAACACTCCCCCGATTCCATCATGTTTATCGCCGTATTTGCCCATCTCTCTCTCTATCTCTCTCTCTCTCTCTCTCTCTCTCTCTCTCTCTCTCTCTCTCTCTCTCTCTCTCTCTCTGTGCGTGTGTGTGTGTGTGCTTAGCTAACAGCAAGAAGGCCACTGCGATATGTTTCCATAAGGATGGCGTTGCACACACTCTGTGCACGCTCAGACCTATGGTTTGTGAGCAGCAGATGCTGGATTTGGCCATTGCTCCTGATCAGCCTATAGAGTTCGCAGTATCCGGTGCCCATCAAGTCCACTTGTCTGGTATGCTCAGTTTTGAGGTGCGTAGTTCGTATTGGCATACAGTGACTTACACACAGACAGGCATACACTGACTTACACACTGACAGGCTGTAGAATCGGTGATGCTATGTTTGGCTGTAGAATCGGTGATGCATCGAGTTTGGCTGTAGAATCGGTGATGCTAGGTTTGGCTGTAAAATCGATGATGCTAGGTTTGGCTGTAGAGTCGGTGATGCATCAAGTTTGGCTGTAGAATCGGTGATGCATCAAGTTTGGCTGTAGAATCGGTGATGCATCAAGTTTGGCTGTAGAATCAGTAATGCTAGGTTTGGCTGTAGAATCGGTGATGCTAGGTTTGGCTGTAGAATCGGTGATGCTAGGTTTGGCTGTAGAATCGATGATGCTAGGTTTGGCTGTAGAGTCGGTGATGCATCAAGTTTGGCTGTAGAATCGGTGATGCATCAAGTTTGGCTGTAGAATCGGTGATGCTAGGTTTGGCTGTAGAATCGATGATGCTAGGTTTTTCTGTAGAGTCGGTGATGCATCAAGTTTGGCTGTAGAATCGGCGATGCATCAAGTTTGGCTGTAGAATCGGTAATGCTAGATTTGGCTGTAGAATCAGTGATGCTAAGTTTGGCTGTAGAATCGGTAATGCTAGGTTTGGCTGTAGAATCGGTAATGCTAAGTTTGGCTGTAGAATCAGTAATGCTAGGTTTGGCTGTAGAATCAGTGATGCTAAGTTTGGCTGTAGAATCAGTGATGCTAGGTTTGGCTGTGGAATCGGTGATGCTAGGTTTGGCTGTAGAATCAGTGATGCTAAGTTTGGCTGTAGAATCGGTAATGCTAAGTTTGGCTGTAGAATCGGTGATGCAAGGTTTGGCTGTGGAATCGGTGATGCTAGGTTTTTGGCTGTGGAATCGGTGATGCTAAGTTTCACCGTGTGGGCTGCTTATCCATAAGCACACGTATGTACATGCACTTGAAAAAACATGGATAGATTTTGAGTATTGTCTGGTGATGACTTCGGCATGAAACTAGAGGTACCGCAAGACACTTTTTTTGCCCTTCTCTCAATGTGTGTGTGTGTCTGCATGTGTCTGCATGTATGTGTGTGTGTGTGTGCGTGCATGTCTGTGTGTGTGTCATTGCACATCCCTATGGTTGCGGTACCGACAGAACGACAGTGACAGCGACGATGGAGAATACGAATCCGCATCCGAGGAGGACGACGATATAATGCATGGCTTGCGATTTGAAGATGACAGCGATGATGAAGATGATGAAGGTATGTCTGGCCATGAAGTATTATGCTGGAATGAAGTGACGGGTGTATGTTGCAGGTAACTTTAGCAGCAAGGTCGACTACATCAGCTTCATTGTAGTAAATTGCTTGCTCCTGTATGTGTGTGTGTGTGTGCGTGTGTGTGCGTGTATGTGTGTAATATGTAGGTCTTGGCGATGCATCATACGGCACGATGGCCTTGGCAGCTATGGCCCAGGGGCAGGATTTTGATGATGGTGATGACTCTGAAGATGATGAAGAATGGGGAGATGATGACGAGGAGGATGACGATGAAGAGGATGATGAGACTGATGAAGATGGTATGTAACTGGTTTTCTCTCTCACTGCCTCTCCTGGTGGAGCCGTATCTGTTCACAACATCTCCGTGTTTGTCTGTTCGCCTGTCTCAAACACATCATTCCAAACTTTCCTCTTACTTTTGCTCTGTGTGTGTGTGTGTGTGTGTGTATCAACATTAGACTCCGATGAAGACGGCCCTCGCATTCAAGAGCTGACCGCCGAGGAACTTGAGGCATTCCAGAAGTCCCAACAACAAGCAAATCGTGTAAAGAGGGAGAAGAAACCAGTAGCTGCTGCTGCAAAGAAACCAGCAGCTGACAAGACACCAGTCAAGGCTGCAAGCAAAGCTGACAAATCACCCGCTAAGTCACTCAAGTCACCAGCTGTTAAGCATGATGGTGAGTGTATGTGTGTGTGTGTGTGTGTGTGTGTGTGTGTGTGTGTGTGTGTGTGTTGGTCTAATGTACAGTGCAACTCTTGCTCCTATAGGACCTACTGTTCTGATAAGGCCGTCATCACACTCCGTTCCAAACCGGGTGGTTGTGTCATCAAACTGGCACGGTTCTTGACTCGCACACGCCGTCATGTTTTTGGAGAAATTTGAAACTTGAAATGCACGTACACGCTTAGAAAAAAGGACTGGGGACATACGCATGTTCATCCAAAAAGTTGTATACCCCCCCCCCCCCCCCCCCCCCTCTCCATACCACGTCTACGTTTCCCGTTTCCTCTGCTCCCGTTACATGGATCATCATGAAAACCGACCAAAAGCTCCTTACGTAAACGCAGAGCTTTATACCGCAGTGTGATGTCAGCCTAAAGGCCGATTCACAACGCAACTTATTGCGACATGCGACTTATGACACCTGCGACGGACTGCGACAGCGACACACGGTTCACAATCTTTTTCATGTTTGCGACATCCTTGTGCACTCTTGGTACTATGCACGTGCACCCAGGGTAGAAACTGTACTCCATTATTTTGTGTATGTCGCATGTCGCAAAAGTTGAACTTTCTTTAACTTCTGCGACAGGTGCCTTGCGACTGCATGCGACAGCTCGCGACAAGCGGTTTCTTGTCGCAGCTGTCGCAAATCGCAGAAAATTGTATTGTGAATCGGCCGTAAGACTCACTCTAGCTCAGTACATACTCTGGTATAAGACATACTCTCGCTCAGTACATACTCTGGTATAAGACATACTCTCGCTCAGTACATACTCTGGTATAAGGCATACTCTCGCTCAGTACATACTCTGGTATAAGGCATACTCTCGCTCAGTACATACTCTGGTATAAGGCATACTCTCGCTCAGTACATACTCTGGTATAAGACATAGTCTCGCTCAGTACATACTCTGCTAAGGCATACACGTTTAATACAGGCGTTACCCTGAGCACGGTTCTAGTGGCCCACCATACACAGTTTCCTACTGGCCGTGTGGGGTATGTCTTATCAGTGTTCCACTGTACTACACATCTGCAGTGGTGTTGCCTGTACACACTCCATTTAGAATTGTACTGTAAGAGTTACATGTTGACCAGGTAGTCTGCGCCTTGAACTGCTGTTGCTGTTTGCTGGGATGTTGTATACAGCTGTGCGGTGCCCCTGGGGCTGCTTGCAGAATCTGCGCTGTATGCTATTGTCACTGTATTTGCTGTATGCTACTGTCACTGTATTTGCTGTGTGCTATTGTCACTGTATTTGCTGTGTGCTATTGTCACTGTATTTGCTGTGTGCTATTGTCACTGCATTTGCTGTGTGCTATTGTCACTGTATTTGCTGTGTGCTATTGTCACTGTATTTGCTGTGTGCTAGTTGGCCAATTGAGACTTTGATCAGTTAGTTTTCTGTGTTTCTGTTTGTTTGTCTCTCCGTCTGCAGACAATGGCGAGCCCCTGGCCAAGAGAAAACCAGTGCCTGCTGAAAGCCCTAAGCCACAAGAGACCAAGAAAGCCCAACAATCACCTGCTGTGAGTATCAACACTCTTGTATGCCTCCTTCTTTTGATCAACTACCGACTCATGTTGTCTGGTGGGTGGTGATGCTGCTCCTATTGCTTGTCTTGTTGTTTCTACTGACAGTGTTAGCGTTTGCCTGGCCTGTGCTGACAATCGTGATGGTTCATTTACGCTGGATCTCATCTTGTTGTCACTTCTGTAACTTCTGTGTGTTTTTACCAATTTTGTGTGTTTTTAAAAATTCTGTGTGTTTTTACCAATTCTGTGTGTTTTACCAATTCTGTGTGTTTTTACCAATTCTGTGTGTTTTTACCAGAGTAGTTTATACTTGTTCCTGTATCTTGTTCCTCTTTCTCAGGCCAAGGACACCAAGCCCCAGCAACAGCAGCCCCAGCAGCAAATCAAGTTACCAGGTGGCATGACAGCCAAGACTATCAAGGGAGGAAACGGCAAAGCGGTCAAGCCTGGAGCGAGAGTAAGTTCTTGTGGTATTCTTGGGAAAGCATTACCATCTTGTCATTGCCAGATTGGCCACGCTTTTCGTCAGCTGCTGCTGCTGGACATACTTTTGTTTGTGTTGCTCTTGCAATATCACACCCGTTGTTATCACACCCGTCTTGCAACATCACACCCGTTGATATCACACCCGTTGTTGATATGAGGCATCCTCTAGTATTAATGTTGTAAAGATTGTTCCACTTGAACCACCACCACCAACGTACTGCTCTCCAGCCGGCCGTCACACACTACCAAGGCACACCACCAACGTACTGCTCTCCAGCCGGCCGTCACACACTACCAAGGCACACCACCAACCCACCTAACTCACCAACAAAGCTAGAACTTAGTAGATAGAGTGAGTTCTCTTCGATCGAGGCTGGATACTGCTATGGCCTTCTTGATCAATATTCCTCACGTGAAAATTAACAATTTGAATGAAGAAGTTGTAGCAGGGCTTCTATTGACGACTTCTTCTTATGAAACATATTATTTTTTTCCTTTGTTGTTATTGTTTCTTCTGGCAGGTGTTTGTCCGCTATCGTGGACGGTTGGCACAAAACGGTCGCGAGTTTGATTCCAACATGACTGGAAAGCCGTTCCAATTCCGCCTTGGCAAGGGAGAGGTGATCAAAGGATGGGACGAGGGTGTGAAAGGTAGTTTCATTTCGGCGGCTGCAGATATGGAATTTCTTATTTCAAGTGGAGTTCTGGGTTTGTTTGTCCGTATCTGTGCGTGTGTGTTGTGGAAGTCCGGCTTTGTTTGTCCGTGACTGTGTGTGTTGTGGAGTTCTGGGTTTTGTTTGTCTGTGTGCAGTCATGTTGGTTGATTACCTCTGTCCGTCTGTCTCTCTATTGTTTCTTTGTGCATTTTAGGCATGAAGGCTGGTGAAGTGCGCGAGCTTAAGATTCCTCCTGCACTTGCGTAAGTCAGCCAGTCTTATGTTTCATCAATTGGGTTTACTGCTGTTGTTGCTTTATTTATCCCTTGCTGCTGCAGATGCTGCTGTTGTTGTTACTGCTGCTGCTGCTGCTGCTGTTGTTACTGCTGCTGCTGCTGCTGCTGTTGTTACTGTTGTTACTGCTGCTGCTGCTGATGTTGCTCCTATTTCTTTCTGCTGTTGCACTTCTAGTCACTGTTGCACTTTTAGTCACTGGCATTACTAGAAGATCTAAATCCCGGGTGGCGGGTGTCTGGGCCAGTAGTATGCATGGTATTTATTTCCCTCTGTGTGTGTATGTTTGTATCAATAGGTACGGCTCACGTGGAGCTCCACCCAGCATTCCCGGCAACAGTACGCTGCTCTTCACTGTGGAGTTGCTGCGCTTCAAGTAAACCCACACTATCTCCCATGCCCCCAACTCGCTCAAAACGTGTTAACACAGGCACACACCAGCTAACGACTATGACAACAGGTTGCAGTTTATTTTTCATCTTTTCTTGCAACGTTGTGTGTCACATATCTCACTGGTACACGACCAGTTGAAGTCTATACACACGATTACATCATTCAGGAGTAACAGCTGTGTGTAACTGGGGTTAGCCTCCTGCTAGCACTATTACATCATTGAGTGTGTTGAATGACATCATAATTTTCTAGACTAAGCAACAGAGTCTCCTCTTTGCTGATGGTGGTGTTGCCAGGCGATGCTACCATCATCGAAACGGCTTGATCTTGAATAATGACATTGTGTGGTTTGCATAACGCATGCGGTTGTGTGTTTTTTCACCGTATGATCAGACACACACCTACACGGCTACAACCATACTCATACGCAGGTGTACATCTTTCTACAGAAATGATTTTGAGTCGTGTTCATTATGGATACCGGTTTTTTTTACTTCTTTGTGTGTACACATATTACAGTGCACTGAAAGTTTTCCAGGCCAAGACTATGAAGTACTAGTGGCTGTGCATGTGTGTTGTGTGGGTGCATGTTCTCTCTTCTCTCTCGCTCTATCTATCTCTCTCGCTCGCTCTCTATCTCGCTCTATCTATCTATCTCGCTCCATCTCACTCTCTCTCTCCTCTCGCTCTATCTCTCTATCTCACTCTCTATCTATCTCTATCTCTGATTTGTGAGTCAGGTTTGTATATTTTCCAGTCCTCTCTATTGGAAGGGCTTGAGAGACTCAAAGAGCAGCAGCCCCACAGTTTCTTGCCGGCATATCCTCTGCACTGACTGCAGTAGTGACACATGAACCGGCATATCCTCTGCACTGACTGCAGTAGTGATACATGAACCGGTGTACCACGATGCCACTGTTACTAGGCAATGTGCCACTCTGACACACAGGTGTCTGGTGACACTCCAAGACTTTACTGCTGACAACAAGAGGGCTGGGTTACAATACTCTGGCTGATAGGCAAAACTTGCCTTTGTGCAGCAGAGAGAGAAGATGAGACACTGAGTAAACGCAACGTATTCTATTGCAGTAACACCATCTATGTTTTGCTTTCGACATCTGCTTGGTGTATGTACTAGCCAGTTCAGGATTATAGGAGTGTGTCACCATGGTCCCCGGATAATGTACATACAACATACTTAAACTGCCACAAACCTGATAGACATGGCGACTGTATACAGGGCACGTGCCGCTTGGCATTAGTATTGACACAGCGCTGCCATGGACTCTTCATGTGCTGCTTGATGATTCGTGTAGTCTCGTGATGCAAAGAGGAGGCCTGTGTACGTGTGGCACTGTGGCACTGTAGGCCTTCATGAGCTTTGCACATGCACATCTACACAAGAATGAACAGATAATACTATTATTATCATACACATGCGCATGCACACACACACACACACACACACACACACGCATGCAACAGGGGAAATACACTGCAGTTGCCATACCCTGCACCTGTACCCTGGCCTGGCCTGGTATCTGCAGAGCAAACAGTACAATCCTGATGTAATCAGGCAGCTTGATTTGCATGACTCCGGACAAGGTACTAGTAACCTGAACAAGCATGATTATGGCACTTGAAGAGTTCACATGGCAAAATGCTCCGAGAGAGACAGACAGGCAGAGACACGGAGGGAGCAACATACCTGACACGGTCACTTGGTCGATCTCTTTCATAAGAGAAGTTATTAGTTCACTTCATCAATGTACACATGCTATCACCATGCACTGAAGCAGCGAGTCATGCTGCAAGAAAAGCTGTTCAACAGTTGCATGCAACAGACAACGTTACAGACAGCATTTCAGACAATCAAGTATGGAAGTACATAATCACATAGCCAGCCTTACCGAATATGATGCATTCAGCTCCGGGGTTCACTTGTTATAAGCCAGTCAGCCTAATACTGATTATACTGATTATACTGAATATACTAAATATGATGCATTCTGGCACTAGTACCACGGTTCACATGTCACTCAGTACAAACATCGCCATTTGGTACACTCATCGTGGAACAGCACGCTTTCATCAAACGTGTATACCGGTATTACATTCCAATAAAGTACATGAAGGTTGAGGGTTAATTAAATAAGGCTGAGATTCTGAGATTCAATGAATCTGATAATAATATTATTAGTAATGATATGAAATATATGAAAACAGAGGTAGAATAGAGATAAAATAAATGAAAATTGAAAAGTCACGGACCCAAGTTTGCTCCATTTTGTGAAGTTCAGAAATCTGACTTTCACCAAAAATTTTATCGTGGTAATTTTACATGCAGCATGGGGATGAGGTATGACATATTGTTGACTAGGAAATACGGACAGAATAATTATTGGCTTCACAAGAAATGACAGTTTGTTCGGACACTGCGGATGAAATCACACCCGGTCATGCCACTACACCAGTCATGGCAGTTGTCACAACTGAATCCACTTTGACAATCATCCACATCGGTTCAGTGTCGAGTGTTGAGACTAGTTGAGATTAGCATAGCTGCTAGGGTACATCTTGTTCATCTTCAGAATATATGACTGGGTGTGCATGCGTGCATGCGTGTGTGTGTGTGTGTGTGTGTGTGTGTGTGTGTGTGTGTGTGTGTATGTGTGTGTGTGTGTGTGTGTGTGTGTGTGTGTGTGTGTGTGTGTGGGTGTGTGTGTGTGGGTGTGTGTGTGTGTGTGTGTGTGTGTGTGGGTGTGTGGGTGTGGGTGTGCGTGTGTGTGTGTGGGGGGGGGGGGTGTTTTACTGAAGAGACAATAGATCTGCTGAGTGCAGGGCAGGGTATTGCTGGTGTTCAACACTTGTTTCCGCTAACGGTGATAACAGTTTCAGTGGGGAGCCTCTCGGTGACAAGAAACGATCTGGACATAAAAGAAAGGAGACAAAAAAATGCCTCAGTTTTCTCACTGCAAAGTATGATACTGGCGTGGACATGGAAATCCGGTCGCACGTCTTGCGGCGGCCCCAGAGCACTGGCCATGCAGCCGTGGGTAAGCAGTACACACATACGCGCTGCAGCTCGCTGGTCGCATGACTGTGCACTGTTCTGTACACGCTGAGGCTCAGGGAGAGCGCCGGCGCCGGTCAATCGACGGGATTTCCATGTCCACGACAGTACTTGGGGGATACCGTGAACCGGCAAGTCTAACGAGTCACAAAGTCTAATGTTTCAACGCCAGGTTTTTTGTTATTAGAAGAAATGTTATCGCGAACCTGGTTTGAGATGTATGTGTAAAGATGCGCATGCAGATGGGTGGCTAGGTTTAAAGGGGAAGTTAAGGCTAAAATCAATTTTCACCAGTTGTAGTCTTCGAGGTGCTGAGTCGAATGGTCTTGGTCCGAGGAAGCCGAGACGCTCCATTCCTCTTTTATTCCCAATCGAACTTGCGCACTTCCACCGAAACTGGGTGACTGCGCCCTACTAGATGGGGATTTGTATGCAAAATGTCACTAAAAGCGCCATTTCGTTCTTATAAAAGCACGGATGACCGCGATTGACTACAGTACTGGCAACTGTAATCCGACACCCTGGCCTGAGCGATGGGTTCACATTTTAGCGGTCTCTGTTTCGTAGTTTTACCATCCCGTGTTGGGTCTTTGCGATGTGAGCGCACAGCTAAGGCCAGGGGGTCAGATTTCAGTTACCAGTACTCTACTAGGGCGCAGTCACCCAGTTTCGGTGGAAGTGCGCAAGTTCGTTTGGGTAGAAAGGAGGAATGGAGCGTGTCAGCTTCCTCGGACCAAAACCATTCGACTCAGCACCTCGAAGACTACAACTGGTGAAATTTTGATTTTAGCCTTAACTTCCCCTATAAACTTTCTGCACGTTACCATGCCAAAACGGAGACTCCCTCGATTTAGGCTAAGGCCTGTGGAGAATCCATAAATACAAATACAATACAATACAAATACAAAATTACAAAACGTTAAACTTTTTGGTTTTAAACTTTCCGGTTTTACAGTAGCAGATAACCATGGTTGTCATGGTGATTAGGCTGGTGTGTCATGCATGTGACATGGACCATGAGAGCTAACATTGTCAACAGTGCACCTAGAGAATGATAGCGTACAGTTAGGTTGTGTTTGTTTGGTGTTACTTGTTCGGCGGCATTCCAAGGTCATTTCAAAGTAAGTGGACTGCGTGCACGCTATCCCTTGCTGTGCGTAGTACGAAATGTACCTGGGACATGTGATATGAGCTTTCGTTGTCGGAGCCCCATATGATGCAGAGTTCACTCTTGGGAGCAAAATACTCTTGATGACATCATCATCATTGCATGACAATCACGAGAAAAACGTTTTTTGGAACCATCGCATCATCATCCCAATGATCCCATCATTATGCCATCACCATGACATCATCATTATGCCATCATGACATCATCACATGATCACACCATCATGACAACATCATTACCTTTCACTGAAGCGCCGTGGACGGGTGATGTGTTTAAGATGTTGGGTGATTGAATCATAGGTGAATTCTCTGGAGCTGTAGGTACGCTACACGTTGTTAGCATGTGTATAGATGGTGACGAGAATGGTGAACTGCGCGCCGATGGATTGGCTTGTGAGAGCATACTGCCTAGACTATCACCTAGACTGTCACGTGATGAGCTAAGCTGAGTCTGAGCTGGTACGGTGTCCAGCATAGGATCATCATGAGTCAGGTGATGCTGCTGCGGGTGATGATGTGGGTGGTGCTGGTGGTGGTGCTGGTGCTGTGGGTGATGCTGGTACTGGTGCTGGTGCTGCTGCTGCTGATACAGCGGCTTAGGCGGTCGAGACACTTGTGCCAATGGTGATGGAACCACGATATCTGCAACAAACACACACACAAACACACACACACACACACATGTATGAACACATCCACACGACGGAGAAGACAACAAAGTCATCGCCCACAGTGTGTGACAAGCCAACACACAACAATACAAACAGTAAAACCGGTGTTTGCCGAATCCTGTACCAAACGGAATCCTGTACCAAACGGAATCCTGTACCAAACGGAATCCTGTACCAAACGGAATCCTGTACCAAACGGAATCCTGTACCAAACGGAATCCTGTACCAAACGCAATATTTCCTCTGCTGTCTTAAATCCTACTCTATTTTTCTTTTGAAGTTGGTTTCTCCAACGAGGAGAACACGCTTCTTGCCGAACTACACTTGACACTTGACTATTTTTCTTTTAATCTTTTCCTTACATTTGTGTGCCTGTAACTTTAGTCGACCTCATGTAATAAGGCAACACTGCCTGTTTGTTATTCGACGTTAAATAAAAACCAAAAATCCTGTATTGACCGGACAAAGCTTCATGCACCGTGGATCGAACTCGTATCCCTGGATCAAGCGGAATCCTGTCATATCAGGACAGTTTCCGCAGCATCAAGGGCATCCGATTAGGGCAGCTTTTACTCTACCAGTTTAGTTTTCACTTGTAGTAGGCTAGTAGCCCATACAACACGGCAGCAGCAGCAGCAGCGCCACGGCAGCAACAATATCACATGCACAATGGCAGTAGAACCACCACCACCAGCAGCAGCAGCAGCAGCAGCAGCACCAGCACCACCATCACCATCACTAGCATTAACAGCAACAGCACCAGCAGCAGCACCCCCACCAATACCAGCAGCAGCAGCATCGGTGGTGGAGGTGGCTTCTCTGAATAGTTTCGAAATTCAGAGCCTAGATCAGTGCTGCTTTTTGCTTCCCAGGGTACCCGGGGCAAGAAGTGGCATAGCCAATACGGCTGTGTGACCGCAGTATGTCGGACACCCCGCATGCAGTGACTGCAGTATGTCGGACACCCAGCATGCAGTGACCGTAGTATGTCGGACACCCCTGCATGCAGTGACCGCAGTATGTCCGACAACCCCCATGCAGTGACCGTGGTATGTCGGATATCCCGCATGCAGTGACCGTAGTATGTCCGACACCCCTGTTCAGTGACCATAGTATGTCGGACACCCCTGTTCAGTGACCATAGAATGTCGGACACCCCTGTTCAGTGACCATAGTATGTCGGCACCCCTGTTCAGTGACCATAGTATGTCGGACACCCCTGTTCAGTGACCATAGTATGTCCGACAACCCCCATGCAGTGACCGTGGTATGTCGGATATCCCGCATGCAGTGACCGTAGTATGTCCGACACCCCTGTTCAGTGACCATAGTATGTCGGACACCCCTGTTCAGTGACCATAGTATGTCGGACACCCCTGTTCAGTGACCATAGTATGTCGGCACCCCTGTTCATTGACCATAGTATGTCGGCACCCCTGTTCAGTGACCATAGTATGTAGGCACCCCTGTTCAGTGACCATAGTATGTCGGCACCCCTGTTCAGTGACCATAGTATGTCGGCACCCCTGTTCAGTGACCATAGTATGGCGGCACCCCTGTTCAGTGACCATAGTATGGCGGCACCCCTGTTCAGTGACCATAGTATGGCGGCACCCCTGTTCAGTGACCATAGTATGGCGGCACCCCTGTTTGAAATAGCACATACACGTACACATACACCTACATGTACACATGCATGTAGGCCTTTCACAGAACTCACTGTTATTCTTCTTGGGAGATTTTCCGATGGGATAACCACCACCAGCACCACTGGTAACACTGCTCAAGACTGGGGTGTTAGCTGCTGCTGCTGCGGGTGATTTCGGTAGCCTGACTGCATCCCGGTTTGAGTGGACAGGTGGAGTGGAATTGCTGTTGTCATAATGATGCGTCAGTGATACCGCTTTTCCAGGTTTGGGAATCGACACAAATACATTCGCAAATGCACTGGAATCCAGTGTGTTACCACCGCCGGATGAGTGTTCATGCGCCGAGTTTCCATCTCCAACGGTGTGTGCTGCTGCTGCCACCTCCGCTGCTGCGGTTATGCGGCGATCTCTCTCCATGGCTTTTGTGTACCTGTCGCCAGGGGTAACTGTGCTGGTTGGCATGGAGATGAAGATGCTGGAGGCACGCCGTCCTTCTGGATTACCACTTGCAGCAGTGATGTCATCATTTGTCACGGTGATGTCATCATTGTTCACGATGATGTCATGATGTTGTTGGTGTTGAGTGTCAGCCATGAACTGTTCGTCTGTGGAATAAGCAAACCACATTCAAGAACGGTCTGGTGAGTTTCAGGTACAGATATTCGTATATACAGTACATCAGATACATACAGTACATCAGATACATACAGTGCATCGGATACATACAGTACATCAGATACATACAGAACATCAGATTTTTTTTTTACGAGGTAACGGCCTCTTTTACGGGCAAAATAAAGTCATGTAGACGTGAAAAATTGAGATACCATGAAAGGTAAAATAGAATTTTATTCAAGTACAATACATTGGGAAACTCCAAGAAATTCCACGTAAAACAGACGGAATTCAGTTTTCAATGGCCGATGCCTACCCCAGCACCATCCTGCGTCGACAGGCCTGTCAGGCGCCTTCTAGACCCGCGAAGCCGGAGGTCGACTGCATGGATCACTGCAAATTGGCTGCGAACTCGCACCCAAGCCATGATGATTGAAAATGGCTTGTCCCACCTGAGGGGGAGGCGACCAGCAAGTCGCTTCTGATAGCTGGCGTATTCGCGATGTAGTACCCCATCCGTGGAACAAACCAGTGGTGTGAACGACCCACGGAGGTCCTCGGAGGCCTGACGATACTTCTTTTTCTTCGCGTTAGCAGCGCGGTTGGAAGTAGCTTCCCAGGATGAATGGGAGTAACTGGGTGCGTTGGCATCAATGATGCGATTATCAAAAAACGCCACCCTGTTATCCTCCCACACACCCCGGGCAAGCCAATCTGCCCGAAGAGCAGGCTGCCCCGCCCGATCACCCTCCGGCACCATGATCGGCTCGACGACAACACCACTACAGTACATCAGCCACTACAGTACATCGGATATATACAGTACATCAGCCACTACAGTACATCGGATATATACAGTACATCAGATACATACAGTACATCGGATACATACAGTACATCAGATACACACAGTACATCGGATAAAAACAGTACATCACCTTAGTGTACCGTATATTAGTATATAAGCCGTCCTCAAATAGAATCCGGAAACATCAAATTGCAAATAATCCGCCCTTGCAAATCAAAAAACGAATATAGCATAGTAGTGTTCTTTCTCACCGTCAGCGATGCCGTCAGCATTAGTCTCCTTTGGTTGATGGACGCTGGTGTTCTTGTGTGTGGATAGTCCACTGATGAAGACAGACGCTGGTTGAAACTCACTCTGTTGTACCATGCTGATTCTCCGCTCTTTCTCAGCCACTCGCTGCTCTTCTGCATCAGTGCCAGCACCCAGTCCACCATCACCATCACCATCACTACCGTAGCCATGGTGGTCGGGGATGGCGGTAGTGTGGCTATTTCGACCAGCAGGCATGGACATGAAAATACTGGGGTGCGTGGGGGCATCCTGTGACGTCGTGCCATGAGCTGCATTCGACTCAGCTAGTGCTGCTGCTGCTGCTGGTGCTGCGGTCACTGCTTCTGCTTCTGCTTCTGCGGCTGTGTTTGTGTTGTTGTATTCACTCAGATCTGCACAAAGAATGCAGGACAGAGTCAATGTTTGGCCCGAACACACCATTGAACTACAGATTACTACTTTCAATCGTGGATTTCTGAGTGCCCAATTTCAACAACAATAGCAGCGTGCCATTAAGCTGCGTGCAGTTTGTCATTGAGCCGCATGCACTCATTGAACTGCATTCAATATGATCACAACCCCATATCATTCAGTTGTATACATTCCCTCAAGACCAAGCATGCTATAGGATGCAACCCCCATATCCTTCACTTGTATGCCATCCCTGAAGATCAAGTATTCAATATGATCGCAACCCCATACTATTCAGTCCTATGCTATCCAAGAAGACCAAGCATGTAACTGGACGGCAATCACACCATTAAGTTGTATACTGCACCTGTCAAGTCCGGGCGTGTAACGAGAATGACAATCAGATTTCTACGGAAATGAACTAACCGCCGGTAGCTGTTTCGTCTTTGGCTCTATTCTCCGTTGCCTGGGGAACAAGTCCATCTTCAGTAACCTGTGTCACACCGCCATGCGATGCCCCTGACATAAAGACCATTGGGGCCGCGACGCTGCCATTGGTATCCATGTCTGGTACCTTGCGGGGCAAGCGGGGTCGCATAGCTACTGCTGTGCCACCGCCAAGATCGTCGGGCATGGCAATGAAGACGGTGGAGGATTTACGCCGGACTTTTGGAGCGTTATTAGTTCTTTCCAGGTCTTGTTGCACTAGCAGAGGAGAGAGCAAGAGAGTGTGAGTTAGAGAGACATAGAAAATAGAGAGAGACAGGCAGAGGGACAGAGAAAGAGAAAGAAAGAAAGAGAGAGAGAGAGAGAGAGAGAGAGAGAGAGAGAGAGAGAGAGAGAGAGAGAGAGAGAGAGAGAGAGGGAGGGAAGGAGGGAGGGAGGGAGAGAGAAAGAGATAGAGAGGGGGGGGGGGAGAGATAGAGAAGGGAGAGAGAGAGGTAGAGAGGGGAGAGAGAGAGAGGTAGAGAGAGACAGGTAGAGAGGTAGAGAAAGCGAGGGAGGAAACACACAGACATAAGGAAAATAATTTCGTGGTGGAGCTCAGATTATGTTTGCACGTTTCGCAGACGTCATCAAAATTCCTAACACCTCATCATGGAAAGTCCGATCAAATTAAGCATTCATGGTTGCACGGCACATGGTGAAAATATCTTGCTAACATTGCCACAATGCAGATCATGCCCTAGAAAGAATCCTGGTAATAGGTTTCGGTGACCTCATGGTCCAGCTCATACAATTCATTGATAAACATGCTGTAAATAGTGCTGATACACAGACCTTCAATGAACCTGATAAACATATCATTAAATAACCCTGATAAACATACCTTCAATAACCTCAAGAAAAATACCATCAATTACTCTGATAGGCATACCATTAACTACCCTGATACACATACCTTCGATGGCCGTGATTTCATCTGTTGTCTCCACTAGTGCATGACCTTGCTGTACTTCAGCAATACCTTCTTGCAAGGTCAGTTCATCCGCAGTCTGGTTTGTACTTGTGCTCCGACGAGTACCGCGGAGCATCGACGCGTTGTACTCCTGTTCAACAGCCAATGTCATAGTGTCCATGGAATCCTCCTGCACAGAGATCCTCCTGCCGGCCCTGTTTGCTGACGATGCTACAAACACTGGGGCTGATGCTGCTGCTGTTGACGTACTGCCATTAGACATGCTGCCTTTTCTGGTGGTAGGTTTGAAAGGATTGTGCCGTTGTTCTTGTTCTAGTTGTTGTTGCTGATCCGTGGCGGTGTGCCCGTTGGATACGCCTAGATGCATATACACCAGCGACTGGCGACGTTGGAGTTCTTGATGTTCACGTGAGAGAATGTCCCGCGCTGCGTCTTCATCAAAGTTCGCCTTCTGCACGGCATTGGCAATGGAGATCATTCGGAGTGTGGGGAACTCATCGGACAGGTGATCCAGCATTCGGGCCTTGTTGTAACCATTGGCTGCTCCCCCGCTACTGCCATTTGATTGTGTTGGCTGCTGTTTGAATGTACTCACACTCTGCAATTCAACATGCTCTGTTCAATGATGTCATGTCAGTGTGCAGTGATGTCATGACAGTATGCAATGATGTCATGACAGTGTGCAGTGATGTCATGACAGTGTGCAGTGATGTCATGACAGTGTGCAGTGATGTCATGACAGTGTAGTAGTGTGAGAACACAGAAACACATACAGTAAAATTAGACTCGGGTGGAGAGCCAAGGATGAATTATAATATTAATAAGAAGAAGAAAAGAGGACAAAAGAGCGTTAGTGGGTACTATAGTGTAACTTGTAGCTCTTTGGTCCTCTTTTTCTACTTGCTAGCCTATGTATAGCCAATCAGAGACACTGGTATAATGCCTTGTTCAGGATAGGTGTGTGTGTGTGCGTGTGTGTGTGTGTGCCAGCTAGTTCGGTTGGTGGGTACACTTATGCCAGATAGTGTTGGGCCTGTTGCCAACGGGCTCGGCTGCTTGAAGGTGTATTGTTGTACCTACCACCTTTGTTGGTTTCAGGGTTCATATACTTTCTATTTGAAGTATGCATACCTGTTAAACCATGGACTACTTCTGGCTAGATAAACTCTTGTGTAATCAATGGTGCTAGTGAAGCTTTTATCAGATCCACTCTGATTTAGCCACCCACACTAGTACCAAGTATTACCTTCACTGAGGGCAGGGGTACCTGCAGTTGGATCCCGGGACGGATACCCTGATGCCGTCAATCCTTTTTCTGCACCTTGTCCTCACCCACTTACTGAGGTGTGGTGAGCCCATAAGTGGGATCATTTCAAGTCCACCCTAGTTTGGGGATTTCAGGGGGTGTCGGCCGTTGGGCGGTTCAATGGCCAATTGAGTCATCTTTCCAAGATTCCTTTTGAGTCTCTCTCCCCTCTCCCGGGGAGACCCACGTGACCAGTTTTGGCAGTGAGCAAGTACAAGTACAAGTGTGTGTGTGTGTGTGTGTGAGGGAGGGGTCTAGGTGTTTATAAGGATATGCACTGTTTTAATCACACCAAGAGTACCTTTCCCTAAGTAATCGGATACAACGACCACGGCACATGGTCTATTGTGTTTATCCCCCCCCCTCCCCCCACCCTCCCCCCTCCCCCCCCCACCCTCCCCCACCCCCCCCCCTCTCTTTCTTTATTGCATTGAACAAAGCCAGTGCTCTCCAGACTGAAACAGTTGTTGGTGCCAAGAAAATCTCCTATACTGGCTATGGGAAATCCCTTTACTGGCTATGGGAAATCCCTATACTGGCTATGGGACATCCCTTTACTGGCTATGGGAAATCCCTATCAGTACTGGCTATGGGAAATCCCTTTACTGGCTATGGGAAATCCCTATACTGGCTATGGGACATCCCTATACTGGCTATGGGACATCCCTATACTGGCTCATGATGGGAAATCCCTATACTGGTTATGGGAAATCCCTATACTGGCTATGGGAAATCCCTATCAGTACTGGCTATGGGAAATCCCTTTACTGGCTATGGGAAATCCCTATACTGGCAATGGGAAATCCCTATACTGGCTATGGGACATCCCTTTACTGGCTATGGGAAATCCCTATACTGGCTATGGGACATCCCTATACTGGCTATGGGACATCCCTATACTGGCTATGGGACATCCCTATACTGGCTATGGGAAATCCCCTATACTGGCTATGGGAAATCCCCTATACTGGCTATGGGAAGCACTAACCTTGTTGGGCACTGGGGTTTCTCGTAATCAAAGAGGAATCACCGCCGTACCTGCAAGTCGGAACACCAGAGTAAACGTGAATGTCTAGTCACACACTGATCATTCTATTCCCCGACTCTTTCGTTCATTTTTCCTTCTCATTTAGTCCTCGGTATTATTGCAAGTCTCCAAAACCGCTCTCCAAATCACTGTCATATTGTGTTTGTCCATAGTTAGGCTGTGTGTGGCTAGGCTGTGTGTGGTTAGGCTGTGTGTGGCTAGGCTGTGAACACTGAACAGTCAGGCTGTGAACATTAAGGCTGTGAACAGTTAGGCTATGAACAGCCAGGCTGTGAACAGTCAGGCTGTGAACAGTTAGGCTGTGAACAGTTAGGCTGTGAACAGTTAGGCTGTGAACAGTTAGGCTGTGAACAGTTAGGCTGTGAACAGTCATGCTGTGAACAGTCACGCTGTGAACAGTCAGGCTGTGAATAGTCATGCTGTGAACAGCCAGGCTGCGAACAGTCAGGCTGTGAACAGTCAGGCTCGGGACAGTTCGTCGAGATACTTTTCTCAGCGCGAAAATTCAGGGCTCACAGCAACTATGCCAAAACCTCGATTACGTGGGAGGACATCTTGGATCTGATCACCATGGAAACGAACTCGCGTGACCGCTAAGCGCAGGCGTAGAACGCAGTCGCGCAAGGAGATTTTGACTTGCTTGGGCTTAGTTGCTGTGACAAGGACTGAGTCGTGAAAGGTGAAGGAGATGGCCGGAGACTGTCTCAGTACTATCTCTATTTCATTTTGGTAGTTCTTGTTTCCTTCCAAGTGGAATATTTCGCGAGCAGTGTTGGCCTTGTCGGCCGAAGGCTTCATTCAGACTGTCCGCACACGGAGTCCTGCGAAAAGTAGCCCCGAGCAGAATCCTGCAGTCGTTGACGAAAGAGTTCAACATCTACAGCCGGGCAGCTACGCCGCTGATGCACAGGCGCGGGTGACGGGAGAGCTAGAGGGAAAGGACTGGCATTCCTTGACGGCATGGAGCAATGACTCACGTCGTGTTCTAGTTTTAGTTTCTCCGCCGTGAAGTCCTGTTGTGTAAACGTAAATATACGGCTGGTCTGCGAAGAGCCGTGTAGCGCAGTGGTGACGATGTGGAGTTGTGAATTATTTGATTCGCCACTCCGTTTCGTTGCAAGAGAACAAGTCCAATGGCTTCGCCGTTGTGCTGGCCATGTATTTCTTCGTTCTGCCATAGCCTTGATAACTCCTGGAGGACACAGCGATGAAGCGCCAGGCGAGTAGCAAAAACATTTCAAAAAATTGCTTTGCTGCTAGTGTTGTTTCCGCATTCACAACAAGTGCAGGGCGCGCGGTTCTTCCTCGCGGCTGCACTGCAGATAGGGTTGCCTTTGAAATGTTCGTTTGTACCCGTCTCTGGCCCGATTTTGATGGCCAATAGCTTAAAATTTTCAGTAGGAAAATTAGAAGAACTTCTCCGAGAGACTTTTCAATTTTAGTACAATAATCCAAATCAGAATTACGCCTGCACCAACTGATACTTTGGCTCCATATATACGCCAAACCGTATCGATTAAAACAAAAAACTCTCGGACAAATCCTTACAATGGGTATTGAGAGTATGTTCCTAGAGTTTCAGAGGCCTAGGGAAAAGCATTGGTACGAATGAACATTTTGAATGCACCCCACTTTCAAGTTTTCAGTGATATCTGCCTGATCGCATGTACACGATTCTGGCATGCTGGCTGGCTCGTGTGACAGCGGCCTGTCCAAAATGGCGCCCACGCTTTTGTGTGATGCTGTGAGCCCTGAAATTCACAGCGTGACAGTTCATCGCTGGACACTTCACAACCCCACACTTCACAGTATCAGCGGGTCAATTCACACCATGGACAATTCACATTGGCACAGTTCACAGCGGTGACAGCGCCCTGTCATAATGCACACCTTAGTCTGCTAGAAAAGAAGTGGTTTTCCATCTGTTCGTCCTCTTTCTCCCGTGTAATGATGGACTTTCTAAGCGACGTCGCCGACTATGTGACGACGACAAAGCGAGGTGCACAGAAGATCATCTACAAAGGACATGGCTACGTAAAGGACAAGAGTGGAGGGGAGGAATTTCTGCTCCATGATTCTGGTCCTGCTGATGGCAATCAGCGATACCTTGTCTTCTCCACAGAGAGGAACATGGAACTCCTGGCGGATGCAGAGCACTGGTTCATGGGTGGAACATTTAAAACCGTTCCAAATCTCTTTTACCAGCTGTACACCATTTCTACCGAAAAGAGAAGTTATTTTCTTCCTTTGGTGTACAGTTTGCTGCCGAACACATTACAGGTGACATACGAGAGACTGCTGGATACCTTGAAACACGCTAAGGATGACATCAACCCGCAGAGTGTGTCGATGGATTTCGAGAAAGCCGCAATGAATGCCGTGAGCGCCAAGTTCCCGGAATGCTCTATCCGTGGCTGCTTCTTCCACCTCACCCAGAATATTTATCGCCAGGTTCAAACAAATGGTCTTCAAGAGCGCTACATCGCTGATCCTGAGTTTGCCTTAGAGGTGAAGCAGCATGCATCACTTCCGTTCGTGCCACTTGGAGATGTTGTGCACTATATTGAGGTCCTGGAAGAGAGTTTGTCCGAAGAAGCTGAGCCTCTTATAGAATACTTCGAACGACATTACCTCGGCACTCGAAGGCACAACGGCCAGAGACGCGAGCCGATGTTCCCCATCTCAACATTGAGTGTCCATGCTCAGAGACGGGAGCCGATGTTCCCCATCTCAACATGGAGTGTCCATGCTCAGAAAGTGCTCGGTGAAGATCGTACGAATAACTGCCAAGAGGGCTGGCACAGGAAGTTTTCATCAACCATATCTTGCCACCATCCCACTGTTTGGAAGTTGATAGAAGAAATAATGATAGAGCCAAGCCATAACGGAGAAAACCTGGAAAGACACATAGCAGGCGACTCAGGACCACCACCCAAGAAAAAGTATCAGGACCGAGACAGAAGGCTACTTGATCTACTGCAGTCTTTCGAAGAGCGGCCACCCGGGGAGTTCCTCAGGGGAATTGCCCACAATTTGGCTTTCAATGTCATATGAAAACTCCAATCCCTTATTAATTAATGTGGAAGAGAAAAGACATATGGATACGAGTTAAGAGTAACTCTCCATTACTGTAACATGATACTATATACAGTCAGAAAGTGCAATAACTAGGCACAAAACTGACAGAGTACTGAAACATTCGACGTCCTGACACCTAGCTTCAACACATCTCCGTAGCGCTAACCGACACTTCGTTTTCGCAAAGCTTCCCTTTCTTTACTTATCTTTGATATTTATGACCCACCCAAGTTGGGTGGTGTGCTGCTTTGCTGCTTCGAATTGTAGTTAGACCGCTTTGTCAAATATCGTACTGGTCTCGTCATCGTCCAGTAACAATTGACATTCTTTGTTCCGTTGGGACTGTAGCTTTTGCTCGTTTTCGTTGCGCTTGCCTTCCCCTCTTTGGTCTTTTCCATAACCTTGAACCTTCCAAGTTGGAAGGCTGTCGGTTAGCGCTACGGAGATGTGTTGAAGCTAGGTGTCAGGACGTCGAATGTTTCAGTACTCTGTCAGTTTTGTGCCTAGTTATTGCACTTTCTGACTGTATATAGTATCATGTTACAGTAATGGAGAGTTACTCTTAACTCGTATCCATATGTCTTTTCTCTTCCACATTTATGTATGGCTCAACATCCGAGTTTCAAATGGCACACCTTATTAATTAATACAACAATCAGTTCTAAATCCATGATTAATTTTTTCCTTGTCTTCTTTAGAAATATTGATTTGCTAGGCTGTGGACTGTCCCTGCTGTGATACATGGTGTGAATTGTCTCGCTGTGAACTGTCCCACTGTGATTTGTCACTGCTCTGAATACTGGCCGCTGTGAAAAATCTCGCTGTGAATAGCGGGCGACGAACTGTCGGGCTGTGAATCGTTCCCCAGTGAACGGTCGTAGATCCCGGCTGTGAACAGTTAGGCTGCGAACAGTCAGGTTGTGAACAGGTAGACAGTGAACAGGTAGACTGTGAACAGTCGGGCTGTGAACAGTCAGGCTGTGAACAGTCAGGCTGTGAACAGTCAGGCTGTGAACAGGTAGGCTGTGAACGGTCAGGCTGTGAACGGTCAGGCTGTGAACGGTCAGGCTGTGAACAGTCAGGCTGTGAACAGTCAGGCTGTGAACAGTCAGGCTGTGAACAGTCACGCTGTGAACAGTTAGGCTGTGAACAGTTAGATAAGAGGATCCAGGCATAGTACGTATTGTAAGTCAAATATTTTTTCAGCTTTTATTTCTTGTGTACTTGCATACTGGTATTAGTTTAGTCCCACAATCTGCGATAAAATGATCAGCTGTAGCACCTACTCCACTTTTATGTTTATGTATCTATGTCATTCGGATCTTCCCAAGTTGTACATTGTACTGTTGAGATACCGAATTCAAATAAATCAATACCAAATATGCAGCCTCCGAGGGCTTGATATATTTACAGAATTAAAATTTCAGCCTGCACTGCCTGTACACCCAGTTAAACAGTACTTTGCAAACAAACATTTCAGATGCAACCAATATTTAAGGAGGAGGCCGAAAAGAGCCAAAATAGAAATGCGCCTGACTGATCCTTTGAATAGAAATGCGACGAATATCAATTTTGGACTCGGATGGAGAGCCAAGGATAAATTTATCGAAAAGGAAAAGGACCAAGGAACTACAAGTTACACCATAACGATTATAATTAGTGGACATTATAGGGTCACTTGTACTTCCTTGGTCCTTTTTGTTTTCTATAATATTAATTTTGTTGACTGTCAATACATCAAATTTGAAACTGTCCACCTCTCCACACTACGTTCTTGGCCCCCATTCACCACACCATAGCGAGGAAGTTCGTTCTTGGATGGGTGTTCCATATCCTCCAGATAGCTGTTTCGTTCATTGAGAGAGAGAGGTCATCAGTGGAGACAGATACTAGATAACCATAATTATCACTACATCATCTGATTACATCATCTGATTACATCATCTGATTACAGTTCATTTAAAGACACACCAAAAAATCTAGTTACACTTACGCAGACGTCTTGTACTTGTACACTCTTTCACGCCGACGTCTGCGTATGATGCAGCAAGCAATGATGATAAGTAGCAGAACCAATACCGATACACCAACGATGACAGCGATGATGACTATTCGATCACCGCGTGGGTGGACTACGGCAGAATCTAGATGTCCATACACGCACGCGCACACACACGCACACACACACACACACACACACACACACACACACACACACACACACACACACACACACACACACACACACACAAAGGTAAAATGAAGAAGTGTTCAGTGGTACCCTCGTCTTGGCTTGATCTCATCTCCTCCTACCCCTCCTCTACCCTCTTCCTGCCAGGGTCAATACTAGCATCCCTGGCAATGTACTTATCATTCAAAAACCAGAGTGCACATACACGTACATGATCAATCGACTAGGTACCGACTATGTGCCGGGCATCACTGCCGGGCATCACTTCCGGGCACCACTGCCGGGCTTCACTGCCGGGCTTCACTGCCGGGCATCACTGCCGGGCACCACTGCCAGGCATCACTGCCGGGCTTCACTGCGGGGCATCACTGCCGGGCTTCACTGCGGGGCATCACTGCTGGGCATCACTGCCGGGCATCACTGCCGGCATGCTTGGCTTCTAGTCACCCTCTAAGGCAGGGTCAATTCATGCCAGCTAACATTAGCGGCATATTATGACATTGCTGGTGAGAATTGGCTACAATGCCACCAGGCCATAGTAGTATTGGAGGGTGCTTGTTGCATGTATGCACATCATGTGACATGTATTGTAGGATGCTCAGTGTTGCATGTATGCACATCACGTGACATGTATTGTAGGATGCTCAGTGTTGCATGTATGCACATCATGTGACATGTATTGTAGGATGCTCAGTGTTGCATGTATGCACATCATGTGATATGTATTGTAGGATGCTCAGTGTTGCATGTATGCACATCATGTGACATGTATTGTAGGGTGCTTGTTGCATGTATGCACATCATGTGACATGTATTGTAGGATGCTCAGTGTTGCATGTATGCACATCATGTGATATGTCACACTACAGGGACTGGGAATACTCTTACGAGAAGAAATTGCAAATCTTAGTTAGCCTTGGAGAGGCTCTAAGAGATCATCATCTAGCACTAAAATCACGTAGAACTTTCAATACAGAACATCATGGAGAGAGAGAGAGAGAGAGAGAGAGAGAGAGAGAGAGAGAGAGAGAGAGAGAGGGGGGAGAGAGAGAGTATTTGCGCATGCTTTTTACCTTGGGGTCCGATGCATCGTCCTTTGCTCAATACACTCCCCGGCTCACACTCAGTACAGGCTTCAAGATTAGATGGATCTTCAGTGGTCTTGTCTGGGGCGAGTACAAACGGTGGGCGGTTGCACGCTATGCAATTGTGTATGCCGCATGCTGTGATCAACACATAGACAACAAAGAACATACACATGTAGTACAATGTACACTAAGTTAGGTTGATGGTTAAGCTTCGATCGTGAGCGGCGTGCGCACAGGAGTGTGAGGAGCAGAGGAACAGCAAGTCACACAAGCCATATCGCAAATATGCACACAATGAATGAACATCCACACCAAGACGCAAATATATACTTCTACTTAGGAGAAAGAGAGACAGATTGAGCAAGATAGGAAGAAAGAGAGAGAGAGAGAGAGACAGAGAGAGAGAGAGAGAGAGAGAGAGAGAGAGAGAGAGAGAGAGAGAGAGAGAGAGAGAGAGAGAGGACGAGAGATAGAGATAGAGCCTTACCAAAACAAGCGCTGTGCTTTGATTCCATGACTGTTGTTGGTTCAAAGCCTGGCGTGGTGCACTGTGGCAAGCATTCCTGACCTTGAATTACACCAGAGCATTCTGTTTATGTTGTACACATGCACATACACACGGACACACAAACACACACACAAACGCACGCACACACGCACACACACAGTGAAAACATTAGGCTATTTGTAGGAGAATGAGGGCAACACAGAAATATACATTCCGAGCTCATCATTAACCATAGACAGTTGCCCCCCCCCCTAAGTCCAATGACATACTTACACCATTATCAAAGAGTGTGGCTGAAAACTTGTGCAGGGTGACAACATTTACGTTATCAAGGCCCTGTGGCTGCAAATCAATGCAGACTGCAACCTGCAGACGTGTGTAGTGCCAAGACTGTGACAGTAAAATATCTTCGAGGCTAAACGTATTAGAAATGTTCTGTATATTGAAGTTTTTGTAGCGTTCGACGGATGAGGCAACAACAAATCACTACAAGAAAAAACAATTCGGATTCAGAGATTGAGTAAAAGTGGGAATGCCAAGTTTCTCGGAATCACCTTGAAGGGAAATAGGTCTAGGCAGTCAGGTATGCACACACACTCACTGTACTGCAGTGTACAGAGTGTCGTACATCACAGCGTGGCAATGTGGTAATTGAAACAAACGTAATTTTCTTTGCTGAGCTCTTTTTCGATCGAAAATTGACGGATATTCGTATGGCTTTCGTTTCTCCAGGCAGTAACGACCAAATCTTACAATTTTTTAAATTTTATTATACTCTAATATCTAGCAAATGGGACTGGAAATAAAGACACGGTTCACGGGGTACTCAGCTGGAGGCCGCGGTTTTCACAACAGTAGCAACGCCACCATCCTTCAAGGAACGCCACCACCCTTCAAGGAACGCCACCATCCTTCAAGGAACGCCACCACCCTTCAAGGAACGCCACCACCCTTCAAGGATCAAAGGCGCAGATGCAGCTCTTAAAGGGATGGGAGGTAAGTAGATCAGACCCACAACAAAGTGGTAATAGACCGAAAATCCCATTCGCTGCATCCATGTTTCCCTCGTGCCAGGCCACGAGAGACCAAATTGGGCCTTGAAATAGAACACAAAATGCAAACAATAGAGGAGGTGTTAGCATCATCCTCTCATATCATGGTCAACGATATTCATCATTAGTCTTGGAGGTTGACACCACTTACCATCACAGCTCTCACCCTCCCAACCGGACTTGCACATACACATACGGCAGAGCTTGTCTACATTACCGTGGATACACTTCTTCGTACACTCTATATAAGGAAGAACAGACGTTGACGCAAAACATACAAGAACCATCCCGGTGTTACAGAGTTCACGACATGTTTGGGAGATGAATAGGTGTTTCATTTGCATCATGGAATTGCGAAGCACTCATGACGACCAAAAGCACGACTGGTATGTCTCCATTGGTGCTCGCTCAGGTGGCGAATCAGAATCAACACACACGCACATGCACACGCACATGCACACACACACACACACACACACACACACACACACACACACACACCTCAGACCTCAGACCTGCCCATCGCAGAAGCAATGATAGCGAACAGCTATGTTAGACATAGCAACTAGTGCTGGGATTACACCATTCAACAGCTTGCAAGGCTGATGAATTGACCGCCACTAATTTTAGCACACACACACACACACACACACACACACACACACACACACACACACACACACACACACACACACACACACACACACACACACACACACACACACACACACACACACCTTGACCTTTGACGCCCATCGCCGGAGGCGATGATAGCAATGCTACGGCAGAAGCCATAGCAACTTGTGCTGGGATTGCACCATTCAACAGCTTGCAAGGCTGAAGAATTGACCGTCACTATTCAGCCTGGTCTACACCATACAGCTATTTTGAAGTGACTTTTTCTGGCCAGTGAATCCCTATTTTTGATCTTTTCATTTTTTTCCCGCACACACATCACACCACATACTCCGGCATGCACTGGCTGTTGGTAACCACCCAGGAGAATGAAAGAAAAGTCATGAAGAGTCCGAGAAAGAGAAGAAAGACATGTGTGACCATAATCGTCGGGAATCGAACCCGCAACATATCAGCAGCGATTTCCACACACACACACACACACACACACACACACACACACACACACGCACACACCCACACAGACACTCACACGCACTCACACACACACACACACACACACACACACACACACACGTTCACAGGCATACATACATACATACACACACATACAGACAGAGAGTAAATGTGTGAGTTTAGTTGTCTTACCTGAGCAAGTAGTGCCTGACCAGCCTAGTTCACACATACACTGTGCAAAGGGTCCTTCTGCACCATATCTGATTTTACAGGTCCTACAATACAGCATGCACACATATACACATACCCCCCCCCCCCCCCCCACACACACATACACACGCACACACAGACACAGACACACACAGACACACACAGACAGACACACACATACATACAGATAGACAGACAGACACACACATACATACAGATAGACAGAGACACACACACACAGCAGAAGAGATGAAGACAAACAGAACAACACTATAATTTTAACAAACCCCAATTGTCTTGTCTCTAGTTTCTTTCTTCAAACGATGAAGAATCAATGGCTGTCAATAGGCCAATGGAGACAATGGGTCACTTTATTGAACTCCAAAGGATTTACCAAAATCACCATTGTAAAATTCCTCGGTTGCGACAGTACACATTTGTGAAAATACCAATTTTATCATAACAGGAAGTCGCCAATTGTTCAACCAATAGTTCTGCGCTTACCCGCCGTTTTCACAGGCATCAACCTCGCCGCATTGATGCAACTGGTACTGACAATATTCGCCATAGTAACCATCGTCACAGATACAACGCGTTCCGTTATGCTCATTCTCCGCCACTGGGATGCTGTCGGACAAACGCAGGTTGTTGAATCTGGGACAATGCACCGTCTCACACCTGCCATTAGAACCACAGCGTTCCTTATTTTGAGTGCAAGTTTGCGGACACGCATCACATCTGCTACCATAGTAACCATTGAGGCATTTGCATGTGTAGCCATCACGTGTATCAATACACGCTGCACCATTGGAGCACGGAGCACTCAGGCATTCGTTGCTGCCCGCTGCCGTCTTCACGCAATTTGGTCCGATATGTCCGGCCTTGCAAACACAATTCTCGGCACTCCGATCGCATACACGGTTCTCTGAGCAGCCGTGTACACTACAAACGCTGAGAACCGGGTCGGTACAGTTCTCCCCGGTCCAGCCCCGGGAACAGGTACAGTTGTATTGCCCCTGTCGGTCCAGCAGACATAGTGCATCATTCTCACACGGCTTAGCGCTACACTGTGTTTTGTTACACACATCACCTTCATAACCAACTGGACAGCGGCAGAGATAAGACTCGCCACTAGCAGCGCACGTAGCGTTTGATGCACATGGTAACGAGCTACATGGCGACATTCGTGTCTCACACAGTGTTCCTGTCAGTCCAGGAGGGCATGAACATGATTCATGCGTGTATTCGTCTTGGCATGCTCCAACGTCATTGCAACGACATTTTGCTATTTTCTTCTGGCACCGATCTCCATGGAAACCTTCAGGACATACACACATAAGCCGGTTGTCTATAGCAACACATGTGCTGTTGTTCAAACAAGGAGATGGGATGCAGGGAGATGATGACTCTGATGTAGGGGAGTCGGTATATCCTGCTGCTGGTGTGTTGGGTGATGTGATCCCTGCTGTTGATGATGCAATCCCTGCTGTGGATGACGCAATCCCTGCTGTTGATGATGAAATCCCTACTGTGGATGATGTATTCCCTGCTGTTGATGACGCAATCCCTGCTGTGGATGACGCAATCTCTGCTGTGGATGATGCAATCCCTGCTGTGGATGATGCAATCCCTGCTGTGGATGATGCAATCTCTGCTGTGGATGATGCAATCTCTGCTGTGGATGATGTAATCCCTGCTGTAGATGATGTAATCCCTGATGTGGATGATGTATTCCCTGCTGTTGATGATGTAATCCCTGCTGTGGGTGATGCAATCTCTGCTGTGGATGATGTCACTTTTGAGGATATGTCTGTCTGTGGTACTGTCGTTGAGATGGTAGTATTTCCTATCACTGTGGTTGTCTCAGAAGTTGTCACCTCCAAAGCAGTTGTGCTATCTGCTGTTGTGGAGTATTCTGCTTGAGGTGATGTAGCTGCGGGAACTGATGATGTCATCACTGAGGAATCTGATGTAATGCCATGAGTAGAGTCTATGGCTACTTTCGTCGGCATTGATTGAGTTGCATATATGGTTGTTGCGATGGTTTCTGACGACGGTGATGATGTCATGGCACTTGATGGTGATGATAGCATGGTACCTGGTGATGATATCACAGTACCTGGTGATGATATCTCGACACCTGGTGATGATATCACGGTACCTGGTGATGTCATGGCATCTGGTGGTGATGATGTCATGGTGCCTGGTGATGATGTCATGACACCTGATGGTGATGATATATTAATGGTACCTGACAATGTCATGTCATCTAGGGGTGATGATGTCATAGTACCTGGTGATGATGTTATGACAACTGGTGATGGCATGGCTTCTGATGACAGGGATGGTGTCATGAGAACTGGTTGTGATGTCATGGTACCTGGTGATATTGATGTCATGGTACCTGGTAGAGATGATGACATGATACCTGGTGATGATGGCATGGTTTCTGATGACAGTGATGGTGTCATGGTAACAAGTTGTGATGTCGTCATGGAACCTGGTGATAATGATGGTGGTGATGTCATGGTACCTGGTAGAGATGTCATGGTACCTGGTGATGTCATGACACCTGGTGATGATGGTATGGCTTCTGATGACAGGGATGGTGTCATGGGAACTTGTTGTGATGATGTTATGGTACCTGGTGGTGATGATGGTGATGATGTCATGGTACCTTGTGGTGACGATATTATGGTACCTGGTGAGGGTGGCATAGTTTTTGATGACGTTGATGATGTCATGGTACCTGGTGGTGAAGATGGCTTGGTTTCTGATGATGATGATGATGATGATGATGATGATGTCATGGTACCTGGTGGTGGTGGTGATGATGGCGTGGTTTCTGATGATGTCATGGTACCTGGTGGTGATGATGTCATGGTACCTGTTTCTGTGCCTGCTGTTGACTGGTTAGAAGAAAAAAATTCAGTTTTCGGTTGTGGAAATGAGGAAGATAGTAGTGTTGAAATCTGGATACCTGTTATGGCCGTGGGTGATGATGATGATGTCATACCTACAGTATTAGGCTGTGATGGTGTTGCCTGGGAAGAAATTGACACTGATGATGTCATCTCTACTGGGGTAGATGGAGATGATGTCACCATTAGGATAGAGGCATCAGTTGACACGGGGAGTGCTGCAGGCGAGTCAGATGATGTCTGGCGCTGTACATTGGTCGATGAAGTAGAGTTCTCAGCTATAGATGTATTTGCCATAATTGTATCATTTATAGTGGACGCTGCACTGCGAGACTGGTTCGCTACTCGTGTTGCAAAGTCAGGCGTAGCCACAGTACTGGAGATGGGGTCTGATACATATGCTGGGTCTGTAGCTGTGTTTGGTATGGGTGGTGTAGCTGATAAAGATACACTATCTCTATTTGTGTTTGGTATGGGTGTGACGACCAAGTCTTGCACTGCACTTGTAGCTGACGTATTCGTGGTAACCACTAGGGGTGATACCGTGGTACTGCTACTGTTGCTGCTGTTGCTGCTGGTACCGCTGCTGTTGCCAGTGCTGCTGTTGTTACTGTTGCTGCTGCTGCTGCTGGTATTGCTACTGTTGCTGCTGTTGCTGCTGGTACCGCTGCTGTTGCCAGTGCTGCTGTTGCTACTGTTGCTGCTGCTGCTGGTACTGCTGGTATTGCTACTGTTGCTGCTGTTGCTACTGGTGGTACTGCTGTTGCCGGTGCTACTGGTGGTGCTGGTACTGCTGGTATTGCCAGTGCTGCTACTGGTGGTGCTGCTGTTGCTGGTGCTACTGGTGCTGCTGGTGTTGCTGGTGTTGCTGGTGGTACTGGTGTTGCTGCTACTGTTGCTATTGCTGCTGCTGCTGCTGCTGCTGTTACTGCTGGTATTGCTGCTGTTGCTACTGGTGGTGCTGGTATTGCTGTTGCTGCTGCTGGTAGTCCTGCTGGTGTTGCTGGTGGCGTTGCTGGTGTTGGTGTCTTGAGGAGCAGTACTTGTCAGTTGCTTGTTGCTCTCAGAACTTGATGAGAATATAGACGTGGTGGTGGCGGTGGTGGCAGGGGTAGGAGAGGTGGTGTTTGTCGCTGTTGTTGTTGTGTTGCCGTGGTGTTGACATGTTTGACCATAGTAGTTGTCGATGCAGAGACATGCCGAGCAATCTGGTAGCAGAGCTCCACCATTCTCACAAAGCAAAGTGCAGGCTACAGAACACAGATGTAGGTCAATAGAAAAACACACAACACACATGCAATTACAATTACACCCTTGCAAGAACTTGGAAATCTAGTTGGTAGTGTACCAGAGTTTGTTAGGTGAGACGATAACATGACGTGCAACATCATACTAACATGCCATCTTAATAGGTTTGTTTTCTCATGACGGCACTTAGCAATAAATTGCCATGCAATGCTGGCTGTGGAATATTGAGAGATCTAATCATTCGGTCAAGGGTGCCGCTATGATATGCATTTTGACGGTGGAAGCGTTCTGTGAGAACGCTTTCGGTGATTTGCCTTTTCAGTGAGGCCTGGATTTCTGTCAAGTCCTGCTTGGAAGTGGAGGGATTTTCCTAGCTGTGCTGCGACCCACAGGTAATTGAAACATGGATGCAGTGAATGGGATTTTCGGTCTAGTACCACTTTGTGGTGGGTCAGATCTACTCACCTCCCACCCTTTCAGGAACTGCATCTGTGCCTTTGATCCACAGAGGGTGGTGGCGTTCATACGGATGCGGGATACTCAGTCTCACTGAGTGAAACTCGAACCGTTTTTTTGGGGGGGTTTCTCAAATTTTCTGTGAAATTTCGTAATGTGAATGGTCATTCGAAGTACGTATCTAATATTGACGGAGTACGAGGTCAATATAGGAAATAAAAGGCGAGTAAAAGACCGAGGCGAAGCCGAGGTCTTTTACGAGGTCTTTTATTTCCTATACTGACCAAGTACGAAGTCAATATTAGATTTATCACGACTGACCAAAGCATGTGTTCAATCGCTAAAAAGGAGTCAAATATACGCAGTCAATATAGCCCTAAGGAGTGAAATATGCAGGAATATTTGACTGCTTAGGTATGGCAAAAATCTATGTGAGTCAGTACTAAGGGAGTGATAAACTGTAGTATTGTCGTGCGAGCTGTCAAACTGGTTTTCAGCAAACCCATCGTAGACCCATAATTATGATTGTGCCACATTCTGAATGTGTCCCAAATACATTTTTGCTGTGTTTCTGTGCTCGCAAATTTTGGAACAGAATCTTGCCAGCGAGCAGGCGCTCTGTTCAAAATGTTCTCGCGCACGAGTTTACACGAAAACAATAATTATTATTACTAGCATTCGAAGAGAGGCACTGGCAGAGAAGTTGCCGTCGAAAGCGCTTGGAACTCCACGCCTTTCAGGACGGACGTAGCGTTGGACAAATATTCTAGAGACGTATCTCTGGATATACAATACGTACTCGCTAGGACGTATCTCGGGATATGCAATACGTACTCGCTAGGCCGATATGTCTAAACAATATGGCCCACTTAGTTCGGCCAATATTCACAGTTGAGCCTCACCTGTGTATTGCTAGATTCAACCACTGAGCTCATTCCTTCACCACCACCACCAGCAACGGACTCAGTCAACACAACTGCCATGCATGCTCAAGCACTGACCAACACTGAGCAACTGGAACTCTGGTAACACCGGCCACACAGCCGTTCCGAAAAAGCCAAACTACATTGTATTACTTCACTCGTGACTTCCCCTTCAAATGCTACACGTACAGGAGAAAACATTTTGTCACAGAGTCGTCTGCAACCCGCAGGGGATAACTGTCAACTGAAGAAAGTAGATTGGATAATTCTGCAAACTCTATATCTTTTGCCATGGCCGGTAGGTTGTGAACGGTAGTGAACGATCGGGACGTCAACTCGCAGTACTACTAGTACTACTAGTGCACTCTAGCGCTGGATTCTTTGGAACGAAACATTATTTTCCCGCTCTGGTGATGTATTTCAGCACCAATCTTTGTGCTGCCCATCCGTATCGGATCCGCAGCTCACAGATCTGTTCATCGCACCCTGAGAAGCGTTTCGCAGAACGTCTAGATACCGAGGATCCGTTGCGCGGTGCGGTTGAGCACCAGTTCTACAGCTCTGGCAGTCTGGGCAGAGAAATCCAACTAACTACTTCATGCCTAAAGACAAAGTAGCCCTGCGCTCAAATGCGTCTACAGTACAGTGCTGGCAACTGAAATCCGACCCCCTGAGCAGTGTGCTCACATCGCAAAGACCCGAAATAGAGGCCGCTAGAAAGTGAACGCGCCGCCCAGGGGGTCGGATTTCAGTAGCCAGCATGCACTGTACTAGTGGTGTGTGTGTCCTAGAAGTTCATCAGGTGAATGAGGTCGGATTTCTCTGGCCAGGGCAGTAGCTGCTTTCTCTTGTACTAAGTTGTAGTCTTGATCTTAGAGTCTTGTTCTCCGTAGGCGTTACCATAGGCATAGGTAACCTCTCTACCATGTACCATAAGTCCATAGTTAGTCAGTTACAATGTCATGTACATGACATGTGTAGTAGATCATCTATACGTAACGATGACCATGGTAAGACTAAAGTGCTCTGGAGAGCATGCGACCCTAGACTAGTAATCATGGTAATAATGTACTATTCTCGCTCAAATCAATCCGCACAAATCCGAACCACGTACCACTGGATATCATCGACGAGAGAGAAGAGAGAGAGAGAGAGAGAGAGAGAGAGAGAGAGAGAGAGAGAGAGAGAGAGAGAGAGAGAGAGAGAGAGAGAGAGAGAGAGAGAGAGAGAGAGAGAGAGAGAGAGAGAGAGAGAGAGAGAGAGAGAGAGAGAGAGAGAGAGAGAGAGAGAGAGAGAGAGAGAGAGAGAGAGAGAGAGAGAGAGAGAGAGAGAGAGAGAGAGAGAGAGAGAGAGAGAGAGAGAAAGAGAGAGAGAGAGAGAGAGAGAGAGAGTGTGTGTGTGTGTGTGTGTGTGTGTGTGTGTGTGTGTATGTGTAAGAGAAAATCTGTGGGTGCACAGCCATCCAGTGCATTTGCAGATTTGCGTGCTTCTCTTGCGACGGGCGTATACATGGTACATGGTACATGGTGTATGTGTGGCAAGTCGAGCATCCGTCTTTTGTTCCGGCTGTAATGTCTGCGAGTGGAGGAATTGAAAAGGCAGCAACAGCCCTCTGCAAGCGAGTGGCCTCCCTGGTGGCAGCCTTCATCAGGTGCAAGATTTCATCTTCCTTTTGCGTTCCTGTATCGTGTGCCTGCGTGGATGCAGACGTCGACGGCTTTATGCACGCAGGCACAAGTCTATAGTCAGTTATCTACATGTACATGTACATTGGGTAATACCTCTGTTGCATTGCCATTAGCAATAGCAGAGTCCCAAGTACCGGGTTAGCAGTTTCATACTACTAGTACACGACTACACTAACGATTATCGATTCCACTCTTAACTGTTAACGATCGATATGCGAGTTATCGGTATAATTGTTTTTTCAGCCCTAATTAATTTTAACCCTTTGAGGACTACCCAACCTGACCCAGCCTGAAAGGTTGAAGCATACACATGATACATGCCAAACCTGCCAAACTTTGACAACCTGAGATCGGGAAAGTGACACACCTAGGCATGCAAATGACGTATACAGATTTAGCCGTGAGACACGCGACAAATACACCTTTGAGTGCCTACTAGTAGTATTAGGACCCTCGATATCGGGACGGTCCCGGCCAAATCGGCATGGCTGGCAGGTACCCCGTCCTCTCTTTACTTCGTCTCATGTAACGGTATCGTGTCTGACAGGCCGATTGATTGTGATTGAGTGACAACGACACAGTCGACAGTTGGTGTGTCGGATACGCGTGCGAAGACGACACGTAGATCTACGCATACGCCTTTACAGTATGACCTGAAAGTCTTATTGTAGTGCGGACATTCTTAATTACAACCTTTAGGGAATCCATATTTAGATTGTAAGATGGAAAAATGTCGGCACAAGTTATGCGGTCGAGTCCACCAACTGAACCAGATTTTGAACAGTCAGACATGCACAATCCAGCACAATTTTATTGCCACAAAAGCACGAAAATACTCTTGTCAGTTTTTCTTTGCCAGTTTTGTGCTAGATTGTGCGCGTATGACTGTTCAAAATCTGGTTCAGTTGGTGGACTCGATCGCATAGCGTGTGCCCACATTCTTTCAGGTTACAAATTTTTCCTTGGATCACCATCTGAGTTCCATTTAGATGTAAAAAAAAGACGTGTTAACCCTTCAACCAGTATGGCCTCAACCAGGGAGTAGTATTTTACTACTCCCTGGCTTCAACTGTGTCGACACGGACCGTGTTTTGAGGTAGGAGTCTACTGATACATGTACATGTACATGGGTAATTTGCCAGACACTACGTAGCAGGGGCGTGAACCGGCCTCTCGCTCAACTCGACTCTACTGGGTGACGCGGCCCCACACTTTGATCTGGTCAGCTGCATTATGTTGCTTTTCGGCTTGCTTGGCCGAGATAATTAATTATTTTGCTGCTGTCGTCATCACCGTCTCTCCTGCTGCTGCTGCTGCTGCTGTGTATCCTGGCACGTGCACGGCGGAATAACAGCGCTAGTAGAGCCTAGGGTAGCATGTACCAGCAGGTTGCAGGGGTAACCACTGACCAGCCAATGTGAGCCTGTCAACCTACTTTGCCATGTTTAGTACACACATTCTCTAGGTCCATGACGCAATTGCATCACGAACACCACCAAGCAACGGAAGCAGTGAATTCTTGGCTCAGTTCAGATCGCCAGGCTCAGTTCAGATCTTGGCTCAGTTCAGATCTTGGCTCAGTTCAGATCTTGGCTCAGTTCAGATCTTGGCTTAGTTCAGGGCCAGGCTCAGTTCAGATCTTGGCTCAGTTCAGGGCCAGGCTCAGTTCAGAAGGCCAGGCTCAGTTCAGATCGCCAGGCTCAGTTCAGCTCAGTTGGCTAGTATAAAACTCACAATACACAAGTAGCTAGTAGTAGTCAGTTTTTTTCTTTTTTACTAGAGCCACGTAAACCCGTCATGTGTGAGCCATGAATAATGGTAGTGGTGGCGTGGTCTGGGATGCTCTGCCGACCTTGGGTCTCGGCTCATCACAACCAGGTGCGCCAATAGCAGAAAGAGAAAGAGAGGGAGAGAGAGAGACATAGAGAGAGAGAGAGAGAGAGAGAGAGAGAGAGAGATAGATAGATAGATAGAGAGAGAGAGAGAGAGAGAGAGAGAGAGAGAGAGAGAGAAAGAGAGAGAGAGAGAGAGAGAGAGAGAGAGAGAGAGAAAGAGAGAGAGAAAGAGAGAGAGAGAGGGAGATAGATAGATAGATAGATAGATAGATAGATAGATAGATAGATAGAGATAGAGAGAGAGAGAGAGAGAGAGAGAGAGAGAGAGAGAGAGAGAGAGAGAGAGAGAGAGAGAGAGAGAGAGAGAGAGAAGAGAGAGAGAAGAGATAGATAGATAGATAGATAGATAGATAGAGAGAGAGAGAGAGAGAGAGAGAGAGAGAGAGAGAGAGAGAGAGAGAGAGAGAGAGAGAGAGAGAGAGAGAGAGAGAGAGAGAGAGAGAAAGTATTAGTTGGTTACTTTCTGCCAGCTTAGCGCGTCACTTATACTTTATCCGACTAGCCCGATACTCGGCGATAGAACGCTTTCCAGGGTCTGCAGCAGCTAACCTTCCATCTATGGTTCCAGCACTGAGAGAACTTACTTACTGAACCGTGATCGCGAATCACGTGACACTACCAACGTCTAAAGGGCAGCAACCGGGAGTGATTACAACCGTGTGAACGTGATGTACATGTGTTATACACACAAGACACTAGTGCCGTAGTGGCGGTAAAGTGCTCTCAGATCATGTACCGATACAAACCCAAGTACGCAATACAGGTACATGCGCATGTAGCTAGCGACTGCATAGCGTGGATTCTGACACAGTAAATGTCCCCTGGCTAACAAAGCTGATGGTCCAACACAGTTACCGATTTGTATGCAGCTTTGTGGTATTGATCACTTGTTGCACGCGATCGGATGATGCACAAGATTGCAACGCCCCCGGCCGGATAACTAACCAATTACACGTACACGTACGTCAGTAACGACATCAAATAGGAGCGTTTTCCCAAGCATTACACACACGGTAGGGAACACCGTTTCGGACAGAGTTGAGTTTCTACACCGAGTTTCGTACTCCACATGACAACCTTCCGGAAATGGAACACAGATAACATCAAGAGTACATATCCACCTAATGTACTCTTGTTCACATGTATTCAGAATAGAGATTCGAAGCAGTTGATGATCAACTTTACCACGTGACATACTCAGTTACTGTGCATGTGCTGGAACTTGGTCCATTGTGTTCCCAGCATGCAGGGAGCGTGACTTTGTACCACTGCCTGCTTCCAATACGTGAGCAGTTCAGACCATTACAATGCGTTACAGTGGCTTTTCACCTCGACTGGTTCTTTGCATTCTGTAGCATTACACTGCGAGAGAAGCTCTGCCCTGCAGGATTGTCATGGAGCGCTATGGCAGCTACAGTAACATCGCCTGTGTGCGGGTTTAGAGGTGATACGTTGGTAGAAAGCACTGGTTTTAGAGGTGATACGTTGATACGTTGGTAGAAAACTGAGTTTCATGTTCTATAAGTGATCATATTATTTTAGTCGTAACACTCGCAAAACCTCGCCTGACATTGTCGGGCAGTCTTCATTCCATGAGGTGATTGATATCCACACAAGACTTTACTCCCAGAGCTCACATAGATCTACTCTAGCTTGTACAGTAAAACCTGTCAATGCGACCACTCGGATACTGAGGCAACCACCTGTCCAAGAAGACCACTGAAGCTAGCACAAAGGGATGCTATTTCCAGTCAAATGACCCTGGATAAGGAGGTGGTCGTCTTAGACAGGTTTCACTGCACGGAGCTACACAGTCATGTACACAGTGTAGATATTTCATGGATAGCAGGCACCACTCGTTGATCACTCACTAACCATCCCAGATGAGCCAATACATTATACCCTACACTGTGCTATTTGCCTCCTAGTCTATTGGTGAGCAATTCCGCTGACACACTCTTCATATGAACAAATTCTGGCATACTCGTACACTGAACACAGCAGCAACACGGTTACAACGAACGTGCCCGCAGCAGCAACACTGTAACAACGAACGTGCCCACAGCAGCAACACTGTAACAACGAACGTGCCCACAGCAGCAACACGGTTACAACGAACGTGTCCACACTCCTCTGACCTTTGTGTTGAAAATATTTTCTCATCCGGTTTATGTTTCCAACCAAGATTTCTATATTTCTCATCAACCACTATTAGACATTCTTGGAGACTGCCTCGGTGTCTGGCACCCACTGACTGGTTCTCTGAATACCCTTTGAGCAGGTAGTGAGCAATCTATATCTACAAGGCATTGAGCATATATATAGGTAAACTCCGGCATGGGGAAAGGGCAAGCCTTTTCAATGTGGTATGCTGTTCCGAGGAGACACTTGCATGCTACAATCAACTGCAAACATTCCTCATTCGGAGAGATGCTGTTCTAGCTGTCTGCAAGTGCAGCTTATTCAAGTTATTGTGACGTGAGTCGCTGCTGGGATGACAGCTACACCATAGCTCAGCGGTTAGAGCATCGCTGGCCTCAAACGAAGGTCCCAGGCTCGAGTCCTGGTGGTGACAGTCAATTTTTTCTGCAGACTTTTCCTCTTTTTTTTCTTTTCTTTTTTTAATTTCGGCCAGTCGGCTACTATCATTTTCGTCTTGGGGGTTAGACAAGGGGAAGTAGCCATGTCGGGGCGTGAGCCCGCCTTTCGGCACCGGGAGTTGCAGCTCGCTCGACTTGACTCTACTGAGTGCAGAGGACCCACCACCTTGATCTGGTGAGCTGCGTCGTGGGGATTTTGCAGTCAGATGTGCGACTGCGGGGCTCGAACCCGCGACCTCTCGGGTCGCAGGCAAGTGCAGTACCCAATGTACTACCGGGGAGCCCCTACTTTTCCTTTTCCATTCCCGCAGCCAGTGAATATTGTGAGTTTGTTCTCGAATGGATAATCCTCTCCGTTATCGTCTCCTGTATTGTAATATGTTTCAGCGTGACTGATGCCCAGTGATGGTGACTCGTACAACTAGAGAAAACTGAATCTGCGCAACATGTAGGGCGTCTGAACATGTTCCAAACACCTGTTGTTAGTGTTGGTCCCGTGCATGGGGATAGAACCGTCGAACAACATCTCACTGTACGGTGACACATCTGAGTGCAAATCCCCGCGACGCAGCTCACCGGATCAAAGTGTGGGTCCTCTTCACTGAGTTGAGACAGAGTCGAGCGAGCACTGTACTCCCGGTGCCAGAGAGACGGGCTCACACCCCAGTGTGGCAAAGTCCCCATGTCTAACCCCCAAGACGAAGTGAATACTGTGCAGTGCTGGCAACTGAAATCCGACCCCTGAGCGGTGCACTCTCATCGCAAACGCCCAACACGGGATAGTATTAAAACTACGAAAATACTAGTAGAGACCGCTAGAGAATGTGAACGCATCGCTAAGGGCTAAGGCATCGGATTTCAGTTGCGAGCACTGTAGTAGTCCATACTTGCTAAAGTTTACAAATTGCACGTTTCGAATGTACGTTTCGAATGTACGTTTCGAAGTGTTTGAAGTACAATCATGTAGATAGTCCACCGGTACATGCACTTTCGAGAACATGTCTGCACCGCATACACATCAAATACTTACACAATGTCATAGAAGATCCTGACATTGTTCGACTACTTGTTGTACACGTTTACACTATGCATGTACATACACTGTATGCAATCATGCACTATGCTAAACCAAGAACCCCCGGGGGTTATGTACTCTTGCCGTCTTGGTTAAAAGTTGTATCCCTGTACATCATTGCCAATATTATCGTCACGTTCCATGCAATATACAAACGCGTTAAATGGGTATTATGTTTAGATGTATGTCGACACAGTGCAAACACGTGACTCACCTAGGCAAGATTCACTGCTGTTGAGGCACGCCTGGCATGGTCCGGGTTCGGCTGTTAACGACGGGAAACTGAACTCATGAACACTCAAGACTCCAGCGCTGGTACCTCCTCCGACACCTCCTCCCGCTGCTGTTGTTGCTGCTGTTACTTCCGTTGTTATTCCACCATCCACACCAGTACGAGTACACAGAAGATTAGTTTGAAGTTGTCTATCTGTTGACGTAACGATCGTTACGGTTACTTCGGCAGTAATTCCGTCATGTTCCTTTCGACGACAATTCTCAACTACTGATACAATTGTCTCATTCTGTCCCAGAAGAAGCTCAGCTTGCAGAATGCCTTGCAACATGACATTCTTACTGGATATGTCACCTTGCAAAACGGAGCACTCAGCTCTTCCGTCCGCTCCGCTAACAGCCGAGTTACTACTCGTCGTAATGCTGCTGCTTGGAGCACTGGTTTGGGCGGTGCTGGTATGGATAGAGCCAGCCATCAACACCAGCCATACTGCTAGGACGCCAAGAGCGCCTTTTAGTTTCACACCTTGCAGCGACATTCTAGCACCTGCCACGGGCTGGGAAAGTGGTAACACACGAATCCCCCAATCCACCTCGCGCTTATGGTGGGCGATAAGGGAACCTTAGTCTTAGCACGGTCTTCAACTACATTTGCGTAGCCCATGTAGCAAGAACGTTATGCGCAAACAACAGAACATTTTTACACGAAAAAGAACTTACTGCATGGAAAGCAAGATAATTTGAGTCGAGATGCAGCTCGCTAGCAACGCCAACCACTCAAATGGCATTCCCGACGACGTCCAAGTTGAAACCATGCAGCACCATCATGACCACTGCTACCCGTGCGTAGCGCGACCTTAGCGGTGCATGAAGAGTGTCACTGGGACGGTGGCTGGCAGTGCGACTGGCAAGATGGTGCTACTGGCTTCGTTGGGTGACTTCGTTGGGTGACTTGGGGTGACGGCCGGGGGCTGTAGAATACGGCTACCCATTCTCAGTAACATGTATTTCTCAGGGCCGGGACCGGTCAATTCTGTCTGCCAATCGCTTGTGTGAGTGAAAACTCTAAGTATAGTTATCGCAAGCTGAACCCCCCCCCCCCTCTGTGTGTGTGTGTGCGCGCGCGCGCGCGCGTGTGTGTGTATGTGTGTGTGTGTGTGCGTGCGTGTGTATATGGCGTGGTGTGTCTGTGTGTGTGTGTGTGTGTGTGTGTGTGTGTGTGTCTTGATCTGTTTCATTCGGATCTTATGCACTCTACTGACTGTACCCGGCACCTCGCAATGAACTCGCAATGAACTCGCAATGAACTCGCAATGAACTCGCAATGAACTCGCAATGAACTCGCAATGAACTCGCAATGAACTCGCAATGAACTCGCAATGAACTCGCAATGAACTCGCAATGAACTCGCAATGAACTCGCAATGAACTCGCAATGAACTCGCAATGAACTCGCAATGAACTCGCAATGAACTCGCAATGAACTCGCAATGAACTCGCAATGAACTCGCAATGAACTCGCAATGAACTCGCAATGAACTCGCAATGAACTCGCAATGAACTCGCAATGAACTCGCAATGAACTCGCAATGAACTCGCAATGAACTCGCAATGAACTCGCAATGAACTCGCAATGAACTCGCAATGAACTCGCAATGAACTCGCAATGAACTCGCAATGAACTCGCAATGAACTCGCAATGAACTCGCAATGAACTCGCAATGAACTCGCAATGAACTCGCAATGAACTCGCAATGAACTCGCAATGAACTCGCAATGAACTCGCAATGAACTCGCAATGAACTCGCAATGAACTCGCAATGAACTCGCAATGAACTCGCAATGAACTCGCAATGAACTCGCAATGAACTCGCAATGAACTCGCAATGAACTCGCAATGAACTCGCAATGAACTCGCAATGAACTCGCAATGAACTCGCAATGAACTCGCAATGAACTCGCAATGAACTCGCAATGAACTCGCAATGAACTCGCAATGAACTCGCAATGAACTCGCAATGAACTCGCAATGAACTCGCAATGAACTCGCAATGAACTCGCAATGAACTCGCAATGAACTCGCAATGAACTCGCAATGAACTCGCAATGAACTCGCAATGAACTCGCAATGAACTCGCAATGAACTCGCAATGAACTCGCAATGAACTCGCAATGAACCAACCAATGAACTCGCAATGAACTCGCAATGAACCAACCAATAATAATAATTATGCAACAAAGCAACACGGTCCTGTTGTTCCCTGACAGTCCCGACATACGTCATTATGATTGTTATTATGCAAGTGATTGTAGTATGAACATGATTGTGTACCTGCACACTCACTGTGTACGAGTACTAGTACAGTGCTGCTCAATGAAATCCAGTCGCCCGGTACTGACACGGTGCCCACATAGGCACATGTGCTACTACACTGTATGTACTACACTGTATGTACTACTACCGGTGCACTGGCGCATACAGGTTACATACATAATCATGTAGCTGTCCTTAGTACACTGAAAATCCGACCCAGCGAATGTTGTGCAGCTCAAACCATGCGAACATTGGCATGGGAGAAATGGTGCGGGGCGCAAACTTTACTTACTTGATTCACGAGATGAGATTTCTTTGTCTTTGGCACGACTGTATGTCATCAAAAGACTTTAAATTTGGACTGCATCCGTCTTGGCTCTTGCTAGCAAAGCGTAGCAGGTCCAAACCTGTAATACTTCCACACCCCGACACTCACTAGGCTACAGCTACTGTACATGCATTCTACTGTATCACCTACGCAACACCCGTGTACCTGTGCACCTGTGTACATGATAATGCAAGTAGTGTGGGTAATACTACTAATAGGTTGGAACCAGGGAGTAGTAAAATACTAGTAAAATACTACTCCCTGCTTGGAACCATCGGCTCTCCGTACATCCACCTACAACTACTGTCTTGTACAGTGCTAGTGCAGTAGTGCCAGTGGCGTTGACTGCATCAGTACTACGGTAGTTCATGGCATGATACATGTACTTTAAGATTAGTAGTTGACTGTAGTATTTTAGTGCTACAGTATAGTGCTGGCTTTATTGGTAACACTACCCATACCGGACCCCTACTGCCCTAGCAGATCAGACACGGTCATCCCAAACGCACAGACTCAGTCGACCACTACACATAACTACATGATCGTACACTTTGTTTGTGCATTGTCACGTGGTCTACAGACTACACAGCGTGTACATGTAGGTAGATCACATGACATGCGACAATGCCAATCCACACACGTATATACAATGTATACAGCACACGAATCATACTGTCGCTGCTGGAAATCTCTTAGAAAGAGTCCTTTCCACCAGTTCACTGACAGCACACACCATAGACCATAGACATCATTACTCTTCAAAGTCGGGACATTGGTGATCCAAGCAGTAGCAAACAAGTTCTTACTTGGTATTATATAACCCAATACTGGTTCAGCAATACTGGTTCAGAACCAGTATTAGATAAGGCCACTGTTTCTGAACACAGTGTCCTCCACCTTGTTTCATGCTGTCAATCTAACAATGAGTTCTTACTTGTAAAAAATTCTATCATTCAGGCACTCAGCGGTACATTGGCAGAAATGTCGTTTTGATATAATTATACGAAGTAAGCATATGCATGTACGGCCATACCAACACATGCACACATGCACACATGCACACATGCACACATGCACAGTGCACACTGTACACAATGTACAATGTACACTGTAG